AAAATAAAGCAACTGAAGCCAATCATCAAATCCAGATTTTTACAAGAAACCAAAGGTGGTTAGTGTTGTGTTTACCACTGCGCACATGTAAATAACAAATAGTCCCTTCTTTTACTCCCAAAAATGTCATTCTCAACTGGTGAATTAAAAAAGAATGAATGGCCATAATAGAGTTGAAGGAAACTACCAGAAAGCAAGAGGTGAACAGGAATAATAAATAAAGAAGAAAGCAAGAAAAAGAAGGACAAGTTTTGTTTCCGCGCTGACATAAACCGCCATTATTGTCGCTGAGCAAGTTTGGTGAGAGTCAGATAGCGTTGGTTAAGAAGGGAATCAAATACGAGTACAAGGGAGAAGATCTGAGCAACAAACAGTCCTCTGTTTCTGCGAATGACAGAAACACGACGTCGGCCAGAAGGGAAAGGGAAGATTGGGTTTTGGGATTTTTTTTTTTTAAATTTTCTAGAGGGGCAAAATTGTCTTTTCATACGAAATTAAATGACAGACAAGGCCCAAAAAACTGAAAGAAATTTTCACATTTTACACCATTTATTTATCATTTAAATTTAAATTTAAATATTTTAGAGAAATGTTCTGTCATTCTTTCAAATTATTAGGACCGGAATATGATAGGAGAATTATTTTAAAAATTTGCACAACACAGTTAAATACTGCAAGTTTCAAGTGACCGTTTGGTAAAGTAAAATGATAATTAAAGCAACAGTCATTATGTTCAATTAAGTTGTTAATTGAATTTTGCGATACTTAAACTGTGTACTGCATCAGATATGGGCCCTACTTCAGTGAGTGTCATATTCGTTGAAGAATTTAGTAACACCCACATGCACAGGCCCAAAAAGGTCATGTAAACTCACTCAAAAAATTAATATTAACAGCAAAATTCATACGAACAGAAAAAATATATATATTACAAAAAAAAAATCCACAAACACACAAGAAGCCATCATCAGATACGTGAGTCCAACTCCACAACATCGCGCATTTGTTGAAATGGCATCATAACATCATCATCCACGTCTCTTGAAAGCTTTCAAATTTGAATACACTATAATATATCGGACAACATTGGTAGGTTCATTTGGTCTCACCATCTAAATCTAATGAGCTGGGTCTGGCTGGATCATAAAGGTCATTTGATGAAAACAAAAATAAGTATATCAAAAACTGTCTTTAACATCATAATCATATTTCTCTCAAAATATATACAAAATGAAAAGAAATCTCAATCATCCCACTAGATTTTAAAGTTCAAATCACTGCATTTTTAAATGTTATCCTTCCCGAGTACGTTTCCTTCTTTTTTGTATAAATATTTAAAGAAAAATATAAAACAAGTGGCTAGATATATAAACTGATCATCTGATTATGAAAGGTCAACTTTAAAATTTTTCAGAAAACAAAATATTGACCCAAGCAAGCCAGGCTTAGCCAACACTCTCAAAACCAGGTCAAACTCTACTGAAATGACATCAGAAAGATTAAACTTACCATGTTACATTGAACCAAGTTGTGAGATCTTCAACAGAAAAATTAAACAAGCAATATGGTACTCAGTTTATCGTCATCTTTCTTCTAAATATGTCCTATAACTTGGAAGAGGAATTCAAGGGGAGAAATCACAAACCCTGATGATTAAGATTTGATTCCATCTTCTACATTTAGTGCTGATCTAAGTGCTGTAATGGCAGTTAAATAAACAAGTCACCTATTATAATTTACAGTGATTCGCTGTAGATCTGAATAGGCCTTGCAGAATCACTACTGATGCATCTCAACTACAAATGGCTATATAAGAATACCAGGCCATCCTGATATGAGAAACATCTTCCATAATGACTCCAGACATTGCTAACCGATATGCCTGTGAAGCAGATCATTCTAGTAGTCCAGAGACCCCATCGACGCAATGCCATTGCTCGGATTTCTCAGCTCTTGCCGACTTGCATAGTTGTCGCAAGTATTGCCAGTGGTAGAAAGCTTATGACCCAATGCAGAAGCTGTGGGACCCAGACTTTCTCTGCCCATTTGTTGAACTTCAAGTGGAGAGAGAATCTTGATGTACCACACATTGTTCACAAACTCCCTGCAAAGAGAAGCAAGTGCAACTGTTTCAGAAATAATTGAGAAACAGCATAGTGCATGTAAAGGCTAAGGAGAGGCAACCAAAAAAAAAAAAGGAGCCGTAATTGTATGGAGCTTTGACATTCACAAGATAAAACATTCACATGATGTCTATTAATGGCCAAAAAAAGGTCGTCTTCTTGACATGTGGTAGTAAATCTCTTAGTATATAACAAAATATGATTCAAAATTTGGGACAAAAACTCGGTCATTTAAGTTTCAACTACAACCACCGACAATTTTTCTAAATGAAAAATCATAAATTTTAGGAATTAAAAGCCTTCTGCATGAATATAGAACCAGAAACAGAAAGAGCACCTAAGATCAATCTCCCTAGAGACACCTTATTAAATGCTTTATTGAATGCTGTTCCCCCCAAAATACAATCATGTCTAAGCTTTTGAATTGGGATAGGTGCTCTTAAGATTGGCTGTAACTAAGGCACTTCACCAGAAAATCATTCCATAGTCCAGGTTACTTGTGTTTCACCATATGACATGCAAGCAATGAATTTTTTCAGCGGACTAAAAGAAAGAAACAGAGATACCAAGCAGGTTTTACTGCAATGCAGCTTATAATCATGATCTAGTTGTTAAGATACAAGTTGGAAAAAGAAATTAACAGGTCATATTGATTAAGTTATATAGCAAAATGGAAGCAATACTGCACAGTAATACATATGGTCCTCTTTGATTACTGGAATGGAATGGAGTGAGTTGAAAAAATAAGACAAAAATAAACTAAATCACTTCATTGTAAGCATGATAAAACTCATTAATATATGTGAAAATCATCACCGCCCCCAAAATTTCATGAATCATAATTCTCTACCATATAAACTAAATTACCCCTTCCTTTCATGATGTGTTTACCTATCCCTTTTAATCATCTCACTTTTTCCTTTATTTTTTCAATCCATTTCATTCCATTCATTTCTAGTAAGCAAACAAGACCTATACATCTATAAATCAACCTTTTACTATTTATAGCTATTCCTAATATCTAATCAATCCACAACATCATTTTAACTTTTATATTATCCGTTCATAATTGGCACTGTTCATCACAATAGATTGTGGTTCTTAAGGTCATATCAATTATCAAGCAGCAATGTTTTAAACAGTATTATCATTTTTTATTACTTTAAAAGTTTAAATATCCCCAAGGATGCAAGAGGCAAATTATTCTGGTATTTTAAATACAAGATTTTAGTAGTATCAAAGCAATACATGCATTCAATATCAAGGAGCAAGGTAAATATGAGAGACAAAAAAAATTAATCAATGTTACATTTCCATGTTTAAATGAAACTAAATTGTAGATTATCTGTACAGCATCAAACAGAACCATTGATCTTGTAAACATACCATGCCATAAATAATCACTGTCAGACACCAGCAGAAAGCTAGCCATTAATAAATGACAACCAATATGATATAAGTACACAGAATTACCAAAGAACTGGTATAAATCAAGACTTACTGCCAAGGATCATCACCAAGGAGAAGAATATCATTCTCCCGGTCAACGAATACAAGCTGCCAGCCTGATCTCTGAGGGTTCTCTAGTTGGCCTTCAAGCCCAAACATGCGGGCAAGCTCACTACGTAGTTCATCATAGCTGCTAAACTTAGAGATGTCCAGTGACCTCCCAAAGCACCCTAACTTGTGAACCTGTCAAAATCACACCACAATCATCAAAAACTAAATTGTGTAGCAGTCCAAGCTCAGCAAAGGAGAAAAACTAGTAAATAAGAGTAGAAAACATTAGATATAACCTCATCAAGCAAAAAGAGATCATTCATAAATAATGCTTTGAGAGGCACTCACGTAACTCACAAAGCAACCTATATATGTGCTCATACACAGTAAATAATGCTATGAAGAATACAAGTACACAGACAGTAGACCTCTTCTCAACACACTAGAAAGAGATTGATGCGAGCCGCGAAATTGTGTAGCTCCACTATTCTGGGTGGAAATATGATCTCCTAACATGAGAATAGAACTCCAAAATCACCCATGCCAACTCTATTTTCCTGGAGATGGGAGCTAGAGAACCTTGAGGCCTTAGTTTCCATTTATTGACAGTTTATATGTTCCCTTTTCAACCAAATATGATCAGTGCAAGTGCATTTATACATATTAATCTGCAGGAGTTCACCTAAATGATCTCTGCAACATAAAATTCCTTCTTTCCATAAATGTTCAGATGCTGCCCAATTATTTCACTATTTTCCAGAAATTTTGATGTTTCTAAACCTATGAATAACACCAATCTATGATATTAAGTTCTTAATGCCCTCTCCAGGTTATAAACCAGCCTTTCTTCCTCTTGTATTCTAACTTACAAACTGCATTATTGAACAACTGGAACACAATTTAACATAGAAGGAATTGTCTATTTATCAACTATAATACACCCTCACAACTTGTTATATGAACTTAGCTCACAAAAACTTTAGAAGAATGACATGTCCCACACTTAAGAAAGCAATTCCTCCAAATATGACATGCCCAGTTTCAACAAAAAGTGAGTACATTATTTTAAGAAACAATGGTGATAAGGCACAAAATTTAAAAGTAAATATCACCTTGACAAAGGTTCCGGTTGATGTGTTTGGTTGCTCCACATTTTCAGAAGACTGCAAAAAACCAGATTCCTCTACACAACTTGATGTTGTCATGTCTGAACTTGGAGGATAATCAGTCCCTGTAGCACCAGGGAAGTTTGAAGCTGAAAAGGACATCAATAATGTATCATTCTCATTGCCAACATTTCTCATGTTGGACATGCTATTTTGTAACATAAGAACAGGATCAATATTAACCCCAAACAAAAGATTGGTCTGAGGATCACCAGCACCTTGGTATGCAGAATATTCTCTTCCAGGAAATGGAGGCAAAATAGGAAGTTCAGATACATTTGACTGTGATGTTCCCAAGTTTTCCATCTGGGGTAATACACAGTGAGCAGCAGCAGTTTGAAGCTGAGGTTCAACAGCTATTTGCTTAGGTAGTAAGGAAGCAGGAGGAACCAGAGAGTTGGACCCATGCATGTTAAGTAACTGGGATACTCCATCCTGGGGAAACGATCCTAGTAGACTATGGATAGCAGAAACATCAGAGCTGGGAATTTGGTTCCTGGCAGGTTCAGGAAAACTCTGCTGCTGGCAATTTGAAGCAATGGTTGGCACGGATGGAGAGAGAAACTGGGTAGGTGATGCAAAATTAGACAAAGGAGAGACAACATTTGAGATCTGCTGCTGAACAGGTAAACTGTTAGGTTGCTGCTGCTGCTGCTGCCTCTGATCATTATAAGGATGGTAACGCTGCAACTGTCGTTGCAGATGTGAAGACTGAGCAGGAATCTGGTTTTCTTGAAAGTTGCGTAGAACATGTTGCGACTGAGACTGCTGTAAAACTTGCCCCTGGATACCAGAAGGAGCACCAGGAACATTTGAAGACTGCTGAAACTGCAGAAGAGATTCAGAAGAAGGTTTAGATGGACCCATTGCCCTCATTTCCTGAAGTGCAGCAGCAGCCATAGCTTGGTATATTTCTGGCTGAAGTCCTGACATAGAAGCATCAAGTCTTGGCTGCATCCATGGTGCAACCCCCAGTCCCTGGAAGTTCAGAGATTGCATTCCTTGATCCCCAAGCCCACCTTGGAGCCACGTGAATGGAGAACTAATGCTCACGTCACCATCCTTTATACCTGAAGCACACATACAGGGACAGCAATTAACTTGAGCCAAAAAAAGGTGGAGATGCCATGTAACTCTCTGCACAAGTAAAACAATGCATACTACCAAAAGAAGGTAGTCCTGATGACCAAGGGCGTTTCAGCCTTAAAGGGAATGGGGATGGATACATAGGGAATGTTGTCAACGGTTCAATCTCCCACAACGAAACTCTAGGCTGCCTGTCCCCTGCAGAGGACTCATCCCAGCCAACCTACACCAATAGGTGAAATAGTACACATTCTACATCATCTTTAAAGGTTCCAAATATTGTTCAAAAAACTGTATTGACAAGTCCCATAGCTGTCTAAAATGAACAATCTTGACAAACCTTTACGGAACGCCAGTGTGAATTTGGCCAGCGAACAGGATCCAAATCACTAATGCCTGTTATAGTACCCATGTATCTGGACAAGGACATACTAAATTCAGTGAACGAATCAATGCTTAATAAAACCACAGAAAATAAGCAGTAATGAAAGGAAATGGCGGTTGTTCTTGTAATGATATGATGATGACAACGATGACAATGATAGCAATGATTCACAAAAGCTCCAGCTTCATCTTTCCCCCCCTTTTATGACAAAAGCTTCAGCTTTGTCTCTTGAAAGAATGTAAAAATGCACAATCCAGATTAATTCAGCGTTATTTTTCCACCCTTTGAAAAGAATATAAACATTTTCTAAATTTCATCACCATCTAGCTGTTGAAACCTGTGCAGCTACTCAGTCCCTGGGTTGAGTTGCTTTTTATTCACCACTTGGGAATAGTATAGCTCCTTGTAGACTATGATTTAAATTCATATAGATAATATTAATAACAGAAGCTCCTCATTCATATAGCTCCTTTCAATGTAAAACAAAATATTGTGCAAATAATGTATAATGTGACAGCCGAGTTTGATTATAAAATGACCAGACCAGTGGAAAATCATGTCATGAACACAAGTAATACCTACCTACGGACGCTTGATTCTTCTGTCTCAAATAGCATCCTAAATCGCATACCAACAGAAACTCGGGTATGATACACAGCTTTGACATACTTAGCCAAGGGAATCACAAATTCTGATGGGCTTGCCCTATTAAGAAGAAAATAGAAATTAACAAGTTTGACTTGTGAAAGTTAGGATTCAGAAAGATTTGTATTGCAATAACTACCATCTATAACATTAAAGTTATCAACCTTGGGTTATAGAATATAGTAAAGCGGCTATTTGTGGCAGCCGCATGAGCTGCAGCAGCAAGAAGACCAATATGCATGCTGTCACTTGACAGAACTGAAGATGGCATGACAGTCTGTGGACGATTTGCTCGCCGAATTCCCAAGAGTAATTGATTTTTGTCATTCCTGGTGCAAAAGAGCAGGAAGATGGATTATGCTACTACTTGTTGCTTATTCTAAAATTTTAACAGCTCAAATAGAGATACAAAGAAAAATTCATCATCACTGATCATTCAAATTGATGACGACAGCAGATGCTGTGAAGAAAGGATGGTTATTTTGTTATAACAGACTAATGAGATCAATGTATAAAATCAGGTTAAGAAAGCCCCACAGACAGATGTTTTATCAGAAGGGAAAACCTATTTGACTATTATAAGCATTATAATATGCATTACCTATGCTGACCCTCAAAAAAAAAATGCATCACTTAGTCTAAGATTCCATGTTTTCCCTTGATGGCTTCTAAGAATCTACTAAAACAATCAATGCAGATTTGCCAGCAAATTTCAAAGTTTTTAAATGCCCACTGCTTTTTCCTTTATAATCATGAGCCTCAAAAATGATACTAACAATAACAATTACAATTGAGACCAATGAAAAACAAATCTCCTGAAGGTCAATAGATATAAACAAAAATTGTGTACCAGATAAAAAGGACTGAATCACCAGCAACAAGCCTCTTAGCACTAACAAAAACACTCCACCCTGTAGTTAGAAGATGCCTCTTCGGCTGACCTGCAAAAAACAAAAACAAAAACAAAAATAGTAAGAAGCCAAGTAGTTCAAGCATCAATTACAAAATCCATGCAAGCAAACCATGACCATTACTTGCCAAATCAAGTGTTTTAAGTTGTTTTATTTACATTTATTTTGCCATTACTTTTGAGCCCCGTAAAGCGGGGTGGAAGAAGATCAAAGAAAACACTTATGAAAGTTATTGAACAAGACCTCTTAAATAATAATATTCCTAAAAGCTTGGCTAATGATAAAGCATAATGGCATCGTGCAATCCATGTAGCCGACCCCACCCAATGACTTAAGGCATGTTGTTGTTTCCATTTCCTTTTGTTTCACCCTTAAATTAGGTCAAGATGCCAAGACAAACTTTAATAGCATTGTATGTCCCTCTTTCCTCATCTTCTTGTCAACAAGTTCATCAACTGAAGAATGAGCAAGTGGGATGTCTAGCATAAAAAATTTTCATATGTTGCAAGGAGAAAAGTCAATGAAAGGGCAACTTGCATGCATGCGGCATGTTCAGAAGCAAAAGTAAGCTTTAATGGGATTGGTGAAGTTTGTTGAACTAAAAGCTTGGGCCCAATTCAAGTTCCACCTACCTTCATAACTAGTGGGCCACGAGATGACTACTAGAAATGGGCTTTTCGACTGCTCCCTACTCGGCTATTTGTTCCACCTTGGTTCCAATGGATTTAATGAGGATGCTTTGGGGGTCTAGATTGATACAATTTTCTATGCACTCGATCCTTGGGCACAAGGGTCTTTTGGGAAGGGGCTATTGCTATGTAATTAAAATAAGAATTATTACTATTATAATTAGTTAGGATTTAAATGATATTTGTAAGATTTAGATAGAATTTGAATGTTATCCTAATATTAGTGGGATTATTAGGACATCTATTAAGAAGAGAATAACGCCTATATATAAGAGGCAGTAGTATGCCCGATTTTTAAACTCAATTCCAGTAAGATTTGCCAATTTAGATTGCTTCTCTTTCTCTATTTCTCATTATCTCTCTCCTCTTCTTTCTCTTTCTCTCTCAATATCAACTAAATACTTTAATAAATTGTCGTGGTAAAGCAAAGGATTCAATCCTTAGACAACCAAACCAGCAAGATGGTCAAGATCTGATTAGCAGGACCATACATCCTGCCATGCTCAAATGAAGTAAGTCACTTATAAAATCAAAATCATATAGGATCCTTGCATGATCATTAAAATTGACACACGCTATCCCTATCAATCATATCATATTTCTATTTGGCTGAATTTGCTGCTCGAGAGTTTGAATGAGCACTTTAGCCCACAAAAATAAGATGGTCTAGCCAAAATAACACATTTTGTCAAAAGTTTTAGCCTAATAAACCATAATATATATAATATATATTCTATGTCCCCAAAATAAAATTACTCTATTAAAAATTATACCTTGCCCTAAATGTTACCTCAATTGTAAAGGTTTGCATCAAAATATCTAGAAAGTTTGAAATTGGAGATTTTGGATTTACAGATACATGCTCAGATAAGTGGTGCAGAGTTACCCATAATTAAATCTAGCAGGATAAAGTAAACTGACAATGCATTCAAATATTATATAAATATAATGAATACTTCAAAAAGCCAACCTCGAAAAATGTGCCTGAATTTCCATTCATTATCATGGAGATCCCTTGCAATTAGTTCCTGTGCAGGAGGCTGCTGCGAGTAATCCTAAATAATAAATTGAAAAAAGGAAGGGGAAAAAAAGGTTAAGAGCTTCCAAGGTAATTGCTACATGTCATATATAACTGACCAAACCATAAGGCAACATTACTCACAAGCGGAGGGAAGACTTTTTCAGCAGCTCTTCGAGGAACAGAGAATCCTCCATGAGTGCTGGTATCACTTGCTGTTAATGTTTTGCAGAAGTAGTTGGTTGGTTGTTTGTTGGCAGTACCCAATTCTGCAGGCAGTAGATATATATCCTTTTGCTCTTGCTACAAAACATATGATGTCAAGATATGACTAAAATAAAAATGATGAAAACATTTCATAAAACCAAACAGTCGAAAAGTAAGTACCGGACTTAAAGGTTGCAAAGTCATTTGAGCATATACTTCATCTGTTTCTAAATCTGCCTGCAAGTCATAAAGCTTAAAGGCTTAGAAAGTAACCCTACAATAACGTTCCAAAGCAGATTTACTCAAACAGATCAATCCTTACATGCATTGTCACATTGTGAAGCTGACAGATAAGCTGCGGTGGCAAGTTAGGGTAATTGGGAATATGTCCATCTACTTCCTTATTTGTTGAGGCAGCAACCTGCAAAAAGGACAATGAACACTTAATTTTGTCAATTAACAAAATGAGAGCATATACAAATGAAAAGCATGAGAAGCAATCTGCCCTTAAGAAATATAAAATGTACAAGCATGTCAGGAACATCATCTATTCAGATTAATGCAAATTGCAGGTCATTACAGAGCTTTATTTGTCCATCTAGATTATATAAAAGGTCCTCACTTTCAACCTAGTCCAATATATACAAACATGGAAGACACATGCAATTTGATTATCACACAAAGCCAATAACACGAGATGGCAACAACATGACTCATAAGCTCGAGCAGCAGCAATAATAACAGGGGATAATCAAACAAAAGTTGATTATACTATTATAATGAAATAATGGTTATTTTTTAATCAATTTTGTTCCCTCTATACTAATAAATCATTTGACTAAAGATTAAAGCTCCACACTGTAGATGGTCTCCCACCTCTACCAAATAAATAGCTCTCACATATATCCAAGAAGTCAACTGATAATCATGTTCTTGTGGTAGGCCCACTGTGGTTCTTTTTCATGCCCATATAAAAATCCCATGACCTTTATATTAACATATGGGATTGCCCACGCATCACAGCTTTTATCATATATTTACAGAGAGAAACTCTAGCCTACCCAAATCAAGTTTGCAGATCAAAATAGTATGATTGACCTATTCATTGTGACTCTCTGACACCTCATTTATCAGCTCTATGCAATCTTGTGTTCTTGGACAAGCATAAAAATCTCTCACCAAACATCCATTGAAAAAACAATTAAAGTAGCATAATAGCACCCAACTAATAAGATGAAAGTTGTCCTCCTGACCTGCTCACTGTGACCTTGGGGAAAGTATACCACACGACTTCCAACAGGTGGCAGGGACACAAGAGGACCAGCACATGCATGCCATAGTTCAGAATTCAAACATTTTTTCTCCCCTGCATAATCACAAGCTGGTGTGTATAACATTTTAATTTGCAGACTCGAAAAAATAATTTGTCAAGTCTATTGCATCCTTTTAACTATACATATATAAAAAGGATCGCATACTAATAATAATGCATGACTAGTACATAAGTTCAACACTTCAAACCTAACTATAAATAATAAATTTCTACATATTTACAGAGCTCGCCATGAGCAATTCGGACGTGAATTAGATGATTCAGACGTCATGAGCTTGACTTAAACGTATAAATCTATAAACAAAACTCCAGAGTCTACTTTCTTCCCATAACAAAGTTGATTCAATATAATACCAAAAATGACATGCACGAGCCATGTGACGACAAAGACAACTGCCTCGTGAAACTAAGAATTACCCCGGACAAAGTAAACAGTACATTCCCCCGGGGGTCAGGGTGGGGGAAGGAAAAGGGAAATGGGAAAAGAAAAAGAAAACTTGGACAACTTATAAGCTAAAGTACTAAACAGCACAAAGATGATGTTACCTTCTTGAGCCGGTTGAACAAGTCCTGAAGAAGAAAGATTCATATTAAGATATGTCCAAGCAACCAAAAACACTCTCAGCCTTTAAACCCAAAATCCAATAGCGTCCAATTACTTGCTAGCTTGCCTTGTATCAAAGCATTATCAAGGCACATTCTTCATATTCTCCGCACCCAGCCCCCCTCCCCCCCCCCAACCCACTCAAGATTCCAAGATTCACAGAAGACGCCATAAAATATCATCCAAAACCAGTTCCAATGCAATACCCAAACCTTCTCGTTCTCATAACCCCCAGATCTTCTAGTTCACACTTCCACCCCCGAGAAGACGCACCACATTCAACTCCAACATCCCAGAATTAAACTTCTCGAAACCCAAATCCACAACTCCAACCCCAAAAGCAGCTTTTTGCAGCTCAAAACCCTAGGATACCAGATCTCAAATTGAGTAAACCAGAACAGTGGAATGAAAAGCGGGAAGAAAGCGAGGAAAAAGCTTAAGGAAGCGAGAGCGACATTCGTGGAAGCTTTCCGGATTGGATTTCAATGGAAGAAAGCGAAGCGAGGTAGCAAAAAGGAAAGAGGGAGACCTGTAGCGTTGTGGAACTCTTACTCAGCTCAAGCTCAGCCCTTTGGTCAAGATAAAGTCTTGGACTACGATCACTTCAATCATCAATCAATTCAATAATGGTCAGTGTTGTACGTAGGCCTATTTATAGTGCCAATGGTTGTAATAAGAACCAATGTAGTTACCTACAGAACCGTTCCGCACCTTCTACGTTTCGTAGATCCCTATTCATCAAAAAGATAAAATGATAGAGATTCAAGTATTTAACTGTCACCGTCACTTGATTTCCTTGAAGTCGCGAAAATGAGGTTGAACTTGCTTACAAACCCATTTAACTTGTTAAATTTAATAGATTGAATTAAAAAAATTAACTCACTTTTAAAATAAATTGTACTAATTCAACTTGTAAAATTAACAAACTAAAATGAATTAATATATTTCTTAAAAAATAATTTTTTATTTTTAATTTCAATATATCTTTTTATAAATATATAGTAATGATAATATTTTTTAAGCTTATAACTTATGACTTCTAAATATAATTTTTATATTTAAAAGATAATGTAAACTTTTTTTATAATTTATGAGTGAAATTTTTTTTATAGTTTGTAAATTAATGATTTATTAATTTTTATAGAAGTATTTTGAATATATATTACCCCCTTCGTTTGAAAATATAAGACATTTTTTGAGGAGTTAGATGTTAAAAATGTAAGACATTTTTAAATCTTTTGATGTATAATTATTGTCTTTTTTATCAAAAGTACTCCTATTGATAATAACTTTGTATTTATTGTAGGGTGTTTAACAAAAATAAATATGAAAAGATAAGATTAGTTGAAAAGTAGGTAATTACTTTATTGAGATTCAATTAAAAATGCCTTACATTTTTTAATAGAAGAAGTATTTGTTAATCTCATAAGATATATTGATTGAAATCACAAAAATGAATCCACTGAGAAAAATAATATAGGTTTATATTTAAATTTTTTTCATAATAAGAAAGATAATACATCTAAATGAGAAGATGATTAATGATAAAAATCTAGCAAAATAAGCCAACCTTTTTTTTATTTAATTTGAAAATTTTAATTTTTCCAACACCTATCTAAACCTAACCCGCAGACTAGCTTGCCAACAAGTTTTTCTTTTTTTTATTTTTTTAAATTTAGAGTGGTGGGTGGTGGAACTCATCTTTTCTCAAACATATATATATATATATATATATATATATAAACAGGCGTGCATTGTAGTGAGAGAGATTATAAACTTTCTAGCTTTCTACATAATTGTATTATGAAATTGTTAGCTTCGTTGTTGCTTAATCAGTTCGTATATGGTTCTTGGTTTTGAGTTAAATAACCAATAGCATTAGCTAAATTGTTAATATTTTCTTCATCGAAAAGATAATTGTTAATCTGTTTGCATGGGGTTCATGATTTTGAATTTGACAATTAATAAAATTAGTTAAATTGCAAGTATGATGTTATAAAGGAAAGGTGAAAGATGCCTTTTGTAATGATCCAATATTTAATTGAAATTATGCGTGCCTGTGTGCGTGAGTGTAAATTTATCAAGGAGGTGAGTTAGTTTCGTAGTAATTAAGTCACTCTTTTATATACTAGGTCTCTCGTTTGAACCCTCTCAAGGCAAGGGAAGAAAATTTTTCTTTTTTCTAACAACTTAATTAAATTACCATTTTGCGCTCTGGCTTTAAAAAAATAGAGAGAGAATTAGAGATAAAAGGAATCGGGAAGCTTTTTAATTCATTTGGTGTTGATAGTTGACCAAGAGAGATTGAGGAAGAGAGCGCGCGCACGAGTCTCACCCCTAATCTCTGGTCTTCATCTGTCATCATTCTCATTTAGCGGCAGCAACCATGAAAGGTCTTCTTCTTCTTCCTCCATCGTGGTGTCGCGTGGAAGCATTGAGATTCATTTTGCTCTCCCCTATTTTACACCGCGGAACACGAACCATCGCGGGTCATCGTAAAGCTCATCCGGTCATCATTCTTTTCCATCGCCGGCTGTGGGTTCTTCGATTTTGGCCTGTGACGGTCATCCTTTGCTGCAAAAGGTTCAATTTTCTGGTCCTTTCCTTCCTCAGTTTTTCTCCTCCTCTTGACTGATTTGATCTGGTGTGGATGTGTAAGCTTTGGTTCCTTTTTATCATCCTTCATCTGCTTTGTTGGTGAGTCATAGTCATTCTTCCTTCTCCTCCTTCATGCAGCAGCGTCCCCTTCTTCCTCCCGCTCATAGTCACTGATTTGGGATGAAGAAGCTTCAAGTTCTTCTCATTGTTCTCAACTGACTTGGTGAGCTAAATTCATTTTCTCCCACTATTTGTCTGTGCGTGTTTGTTGTTGAATGTTGTTGATGTGGGATTTTGACTTTCCCTTTGTTACAGCCATTGTGTGAATAGGAGGGAGAATGGGGAATTTCAAACTAGCTATATTGGAATGAAAATTTGATTATTTGTTAGGAATGAAAATTTGATAAAATTGAAATTTACGCTGCAAGCTATTGGAATGGGATTTGTAAAGAAAATAGTTTGGAATTATAGTTTAAGGATTAATGCTTACAAAATGCTTAATGAAATGCTTATTAGAGAATTTAGCATATAGGACAAGATATATAGGTTGATTATATTGATGTTAATTAGATCATCATTATAATACAATTTTCTTTAATAGAAGTTAGGAAGTTTGACTAGTTCTGATATGAATATAAGGCAATCTGAAAAAGGAATGTGCAAAATAAAATATATTTAATGGAATGTTTGAAAAAGGGGGGATTTTGGATTTAAGGAGGCAACATATTTGTGATAGTTATCTCATCAATGGTTACACAATCATCGAAGGCATTTGTTCTTGGTGATAAAAGTTAGAGTAGAATTTAAAAGTTTTTTTGGGAAAAATATTTGAGTTGGTAATCCTAGAACTAAATCATCATTTATACTCATTCTTGAAATATCTTTAGGATGTTTGATAACATGTTTATTAGAAAGAGTTTTATTTGATTATGAGTTTTCTTAAATTTCATTAACTCTTTAAGCCTTATGAAGATATACTTGGCTTGGGTGCTAAATTTTCATAAAATTGACTTGAGTTTTGTGAAGAATTCTGATTATTAAGTTGTTATGAGTTTAACTTGAGTAATGCAAATAAACTTGATAATTATGGAGGTAATGTGTAGTTAGTTGGACATTTGATGCAATATTTGAGAAATATTAGAGTTAAGATTTATCTATTCTACTCCTCTAAATTAGTTTGAACTATAGATTTTGGGTCGTGAAGTGATCAAGAGAATAAATTGAATTAATTTGGGAATTTAGTTACTATGGTATTATTATTAGAAGAGAGTTTGTTAAACTTGGGCAAAGGTCACTAATTTTTTTTTTTAATTATTGAATAGGGGATCTAGAGAAAGCAAATCTCAATTGAAGTGGTAAGGAAGAGCAGATTGAAATCCTAAGAAATCAATTCTTGTACTTGGGTGTATTATAGATAAATGAATAGCATCTCAATGACTCTTTGACAAATTCATTTTTAATATATATATATATATATATATATATTGATTTAGCATATTTATGTGCCATCTCTTTTATTTATATAATCCTTTTTATTCCACGAGAACAAATGATAGAGTATTTTAATTTATTTATTTATTTTGGTTCATAATCTTAATTTTATTATCAATTGTCCTACATGAAAATGTTTTTTATTATATTATGTTTTATAGAACATGTTGGATTTATCTTTCAATTGAACATTTAAAAATATCTACTATATTGAAAATGTTAATTTTATATTTAAAGAATAATTTAACTATCATGATTCATGCACAGGATATCTACAGATGCATTCATTCATGTTGAATATGATGAGAAATGTTGAAAATAAATAGTATATTGATTTTATTGACCCATGTATGTTTGATTTAAAATATGGGATTGAATCAAAACGCTAATTACTAACGATAATATCATTAGCCATTGGTGCTCTCTAGTACACCTACCTAGTTGGGTGCTTACGAGGTACTAGCCCCGTGCGAAGGCCAAAACACGTGAAACAGAAGGGATGGTAATTCTTGAGCATTGTACTCACACTTGTTTTGGTAAGCCTTGTGCCTGTGCTTATTTTGTGGCCTATAGCCGCGCTTGATCATTTGATGGTTCTAAACCTTACTTGATTACTTACCCTCATGGATTGTGTGTGCACGCTTATTGGTTATTTACCTTTATGAACACTGTGTTCACGCTTGGCAATCGTTCTAATAAAATCTTGCTGAAATGTAATTTTTAGAAATTTATTGTTTTAATTTCTTTTTCTATTAAATAAATTGCTATCTAATGGTATAAGATTTTATAAGGTGAAATTATATAATTCAATTGTAGAACAAAGGTTATAACTTGAAAAATTGTATTACCTTTAATCGACTATGCATCTATTTGGTTCACCTATTTAGATAAAACTACTATATCACACAATGTGTTTTCATTATAATAATGGTTATTATTGTGGAACTTATAATTATTTTATAAACATTTCCTCATTTTACTTCAATGAAATCTAAATTGAGACATTATTCATTGAAAATTTATTTTAATCTTAGATTCATTAGCCGACACTAAACCTACTATGACTTATGAGGGGAGTATCACTGCTAAGGGGAAATTTGTTTAAGACTCTCTCTCCTTTTTTATGTAATTCTAAAAACTTATATATTTTATCTTTAAAGAGTGCGGTTATATGCTCGACATATGCTATAATTAAGGTCTTCAATTTGGTTATATACTCTATCTACTAGTTGGAAGGAGCTGAACTTCTGATTGTTATCTTATTTAGTTTAAATATTGTATTGTAAAGTTTTTGATAGGCCCTACTTATATGAAAAAAAAGTAAAGCTTGTGTTAACATGAAAATGATTAAGGATGTTATAATTTTAGGATAAATATAATTACGTTTTGAAAATAGAAAATTTTTGATTTAAAGCTTAAGGAATATATGATATGGTTCTTATACCATGCTAGTCATTATCTGTTTTATGGGTGTGATACCTTTGCATGTGCAAATTTTATCTCTTATGTGTTGAAGAAAAGAAAGTTAAGGACTTAATAATAGTATTTTGAGCATTGTGTTTACTTAAAAGCTGGACTATTGTTAATTTAGAGTTTGAGTGGACTTTGAAATCAAGTAGTGTGCTATTGAACAATTTCAATTGTGATGGCTGTATTTGGATACTTGTTAATTGTTAATTTTTCATAGAATGTACACTAAAATTTGCTTGATAAATTATATGTTTATTTTATTTATTTATAAGTTTTTTAATTACTAATTTGCCTTAAAATGTGGACTAAATATATATATATATATTTATATTATATAAATTTTAAATTGTTAAAGAAAAAATTTTGGTGAATTTTTTGCGGGCAATTTGCCAAAAAATGGGTTGAGTTTTTTAATTGATAGGTAGCCCAACCTAACTCGTAAAACCGTAGCCCGTTTGCCTAATATTAATTTCCTTGAATCCTCTTGATATGAGAAATAATTTGAATTTTAAATTATAAATTTAAGGATAATTTAAACTTTAAATTTGTATTTGGTACATTTTAAACATTTTAAATGCTTAAATGTGTGATAATCTAGCACCCACCGTTAGTATGAAGTTAACGCTGTTAATGTTTAAAATATAGTGAGGCCCACTCTCAATCTGCTCTCTCCTCCCCCTTCTCCTTATCTCTCTCCTCTTTATCTCTTTTGCTTAACCAGGTCAGGAATTTTCTTGAGATATCGCCATTGTTTGTGTCTCCCATTAATCTTTTCCTGTTCTGTGTCAAAACCTTTGAGAAATCATTGCCGGCATTGCTCCCGGAGTATATCGGCATGTTTTCTCCCTCCACTCTCTCTCTGCTTCCGCCGCCCTTTATCACCTCATTAGGGCTGTTTTTCTTTATCCTTTTCAAGAAATTTGTTGCGGCGCTCCTCTTCTTATTTGACATAAATGCTTCTTGTTTTTTATCTACTGCTGCTTTGCTGTTGTTATCTGATTTAAGAGGGCTTGCTTTGCTAGATTGAAACTTCTTGTTCCAGATGGCACTAGCACCGTCGTCAATGAGGTTCTTGTTGCTTCTTCTCATGCTTCTTACTTTGGTCACCAGCTTCTCCTTCAACCCAGGCGGCAGAGAAAGAGGAGCAAAGGGAGGAGGAAAAAACGTTGTTCATCAAAATCATCAGAAACTGATGGTGGCCTCTTCTAAGGTAGTAGTGGTTTCTTGTCGCTGCTTAACCAGTCATGCACAACATGCACTTTGTGATGAAGCGAGGCAAGAACTTGGGAAAGACTCTGAGTAACACCATGCATATTAGTGGGTCAGCTGGCGTTATTCAATCGGAGGGTGAGTGACGATGGGTGTAACATCCTAAAAATTTTAAGACTCAAATTTATTTTAAAAATAAAATAAAATATCTATAATTAAATTAAAATTTAGAATAATTTAATAGAGGCTTATAGTTTGAATTTTACTAAGCAAAAGTTTGGTTTTATTTGATTTTTAATTATGGAAAAAATTACCAAAGTTGACCCGGGCTTTTGTGCAATAATAAAAAATGTTGGGCCCTTTCTTGTAATTTTCTCCAAACTTTTTGACCAACAATTTAAAGGCCAAAACTGATGCAGAAATGCAGAAACTGAATTGGAAAAGAAAGGAAAGGAAACGTACGAGAGGGAGAGAGGAAGAAGAGAAGAGAAAGGGAGGGAGTTAGGCTTGGATCTAGGAGTCTTTACGACCGTTGCAAGCTCGGCTACACGATAGGTAAACTCCCTACTTCAATCCTCTGCTCTTTCTCTTGATTTTCTTCAATTTTTGGAAGAGGAGATTTTTGGATTTTGATCCCAAAGGCTTTATTCTTGTAAGCTTTTGTTTTTTTGGATCCTAGGGAGCATGTTTTGAGTTTCTATATAGTGATCTAATATTTTGAGTGGATAATTGGATGAAAAGAGGTGTTTTGGGCACAAAATAAATCCTGAGAAATTGAGTTTTTGCTCTTCAATGGTTTAAGCTTATTGATTTAATTATAATTTTGCTATTTGAGCCCAATAAGATTTAAATTAAGGTTTGGTTTTCATTATAAGGGCTAATGGTGAAAGTTGGTGGCACTAAGTAAAGGTTTTTAATTGATTAAAAATTTTATATAAATTAGAAATTTAGCCTAGTGATGGCTAATAAATGGTTTTGGTGGTTAAGTGATACTATGTGAATGGTTGGTTAAATATATGACCATTGGGATGGATTATGGCTCATAGACCCAAGTTGTGTGGTATGAGTTATAGTCTTCATTGATGCTATTTGTCATGATAAGTGATGTGGATCACTTATATGTTGTAGAAAATTGTTGGTGGAACTTATTGAGAAGTAAGGAACAAGCCGAGCCCTATTTTGTACAAGGGGAACCCTTTTGGTACCAAAGAGTTGAGGTAACAAGGGAATTTATATTTTTTATTACTTTGTTTTAGTTATTTTTGAATAAATATTACTAATTATCATGCATTACATGTTTTAAAAGATTAAATGTGCTTTATAAGGGGTTATGGGGTACTACTTTGATTATAGTACAAATATGTTTTCTAATTGTTTAATAACAATGTTTTTATGGAAATGAGATTTATAAATGTTATACTACTTTAGAGTGTTGAATGGTCAATACTCAGGAAAGATAGACAAGAGTAAAAGGCATGATCTTGATGGGAGTTCACCAATGAGAAGGTGTGGATTTTTGATATTCTATGGCACACTGTCAGTACTCAGTGTTGTCTTACGTATTGTGGGCTCAGTGCACTAAAGTGGTTAGTGTATTGAGTGTTCGACACCTCTCAGTGGGGGAGGGAATCCAACATATGAAGTGTGAGGTTGAGTGCCTAAACCAAGGTAGCTCTCACATGGAAAGTAAGTTGGGCTGGCTCTGGGAGGGAGTTAGGTTTAACTGCTTAGGATTCACGTCAAAGGGGCATAGGAGGTTCGGTGGATTAGATCATGCCTTAGATTATGTTTTGTGCCTGTGGAGGTACAAGTAGGCAGAAGGTTTACCTACAAGTTAAAGAGTGCCAGGGGTCATTCTGTTGGTCATGAAAGGCCATACCAGCCTAGGTCATGCATTCATGCATTTTAAATGGCTAAATTATATACTATATTGAATTTATTATTCATTTATTTGATTATGGCTTACTTTGTAATAATCAATGTAGATTTCACTGTTACTGAGACTGTGGTTGTCTCACCCCTTTCTTTTCAATATTCTAGGTCCAGGCGAAGGATCCAGTGGTGGATGGGGAAAAGAGCAAAGCTAGGGGTTTGCTTGTGATTTGTAAAGAACTGCAACCCCTTTCTCTTGAGCAAATATATTGTAATGTATTTAGGATTAGGGTGCCAGTAGGATATGATTATGTATGTATGTGTGAATATGTGTGGATTGTGTGCTTGTGTATGAATTTTTGTCTGTTTGCAGACTTGTGGCTAGGAAACTTGGTTATGGTGTGTGGTTTTGATGGATTTACTTAGTAGACCAAGTTTCTATTACAAGCAGATCTTTATTTGATATATATATATATGTGATTTTATAAGCAAATGCAAAGTGGTTGCATTGCAAATAGTGTGCTATGGGCAAACAAACACCTTGGATAGAGAGAGTGGGTGCGTGGGCCCCACAAGGAGCTCTGAGCCAAGTGAAAATATTTAGTATATGTATTTATATAAATACATGGTATTTGGATTGATTTGAGACCACTCTTGTATGATTTGTGCATTTTGGGGGTCTAGGGTCCATTTTGGGAAATGGCACCCGGGTGATCAAATTTTGATGTATAGAGGTTTTCCATCATTTGAATGTTCTATCAGGTATTTTTAATCTTATTTGACGTGTCCAAAGTATTCTCATAGTTTTGTGACCATTAGGATGAGATTTGGACAATTTTGAAAATGGTTTTTACCAAAAAGCTGCACTTTTGCATCCGGGTGCCCAAATCTTAATCCGACCGTTGGATTTCTCTAAAATTTGGGTCACAAGTAAAACCTTTTATAAGCTTTGTGTGGGCTTTGGAATCACGTCGATCGGATATCGGACAGAAAAACGACACACTTCGGAATTTGGTCTGGAGGCGCTGTCATGACAGCATTAAATTGCTGTCATAACAGCTACAATATTGATGTTGTAACCTGCATAAAATTCAATCCGTCCGTTGGATCTTTTTAAAATTTAGTATGCTAATAGTATTCTTTAAAAGTGACATATGGACTTTGGAATCACTCCGATCGGAGATCAGATGATGAAATGGTGCACTCTGGAAGTTGGTCCGAAAGTGCTGTCATGACAGCAAAAATAACCAATTTTTTAACATGTCTAATTTTTAATCCAACCGTTGGATCTTTTTGAAATTTGGTATACTTATAGTATCCTTTGAATGTGACGTGTGAGCTTTAAAATTACTTCGATCGGAGGTTGAATGACGAAACGGTGCCTCCTGGAAATTGGCCCAGGAGGGCTGTCATGACAGCAATTTAATGCTGTCATGATAGCATCTTTTTATTTCACTTTCATCTAACTTGCTTCCGCGTGCTATAGGTAGAACCTATAAATTTTTTTTAAAGGCTTTAAATGGTTTGTTTCCTAAGTTGGTTTTAGGATTAATTCCTTAACCACACTTAGTTTATTTGAATTGTGTGATTTTTGGATAACACTCGGGGCAAGTGTTACAATGGGGCCCATATTTGGCATGAAGGCTTCGAAGCATCAGTTGAAGCTCTGTGAAGGACAGCGGAGCCAAAGCATGAAGAGGACCAAGTGGGAAAGGGTGGCGAGAAGTCTTGGAATGTGAGGAAAGGAAGAAAAGAGTGATCAAGAGGTAGAGGCAAACAGAGGCGAGGACGATGAAGATGAACTAGAAGTTAACGTTTGAGCGTGTAATTTCTCATCAAGCGGGAGAGAGACGCTGAGAGAGAGAGAGAGATGTTGTGAGAGAGAAAGGGGAGATGCAGAGAGAGAGAGAGAGAGAAAGAGGGAGGGAGAAAGACACTGAGAGGAAGAAAGAGGGAGAAAGAATAAGGAATTATCAAATGTAAATATGGGCCCGACTGTTTAAATTAATGGACGTTTAATCCAAATTATTGGTAGGTGTTAAATTGTCTTAAATTTTATAATTGAGAGTTCAAAATATATTAAATATGAATTTAAAATTTAAATCACCCCTTTAATTCATAATTCAGGGTTTAAATTACATATTTATTATGATGTTAAATTTTAATCAATCATAACTAATCAAAAATCAAAAAAATCTAATTAGTTTATAAGTTATAGATAGTATAAATTAGGAAAATATGATTTTTTTTCAATTATCATTTCCATCTACTTTAACTCAAAACAACTCAATCTTCATAGTTTTTTAACTCATAATATCTTGATTCTTATAATTTTTTGATGCAGTACAATTTAGTCACTATACTTGATAATTGATAAAATATAAGGATTGAATTAAACCAAATCAAAGTTTATAAACTAAATTGATTATTGAAAGAAAATTTAAAGATTATAAAAATATTATTCCCATTAATTATATAATGGATTTCAAGTTTTGAAGGTCACAGTAAATTAATTGTTCGCGATTTTAGCTAGAGGCTAATTTAGGTAATCAAGATCAGTTGGGTAATGTTTACCCAACAAAAAAAGAAGAAGAAGAAGATTAGTGAGGTAATTAGTAGGCGTTGTTCTAATAAAATAGTTATAGCTTTTTAAGCATAAAGTACCGACTTTGAATCTGCGTGAAGGTTAAAAAAAATATTTTTAAAAAAGCTACTTTTATTGAGTATGACAATATTTGAATCTAGTTCAGTTAAAATAGTCATATAAAAAATAGTGGGGGTACAGAGAGAGGGTGTGAATGATGTTATGATCCTTTTTGCTTCTTTGAACTCTTTTTCTTTACACTTGATGTACTTATCTTGTGTCAGCGAGCTCTTCATATTCTTATCTGCATGTTCACAAATGTTACGGGATGGGTTATAAGATTTTTGATAGTCAAACTTTTACCATGGGCTTTCAGTTTTTTTTTGAAAGCCCATTTTGTCTGTAATCATTTGATATTTTAATATATGACTTTATTTTTTTTTAAAAAAACCTCTTATATTCTAAAACTTTCTTTTTCATCCGATCCTCTTCTCACAAAAAAAAAGAGGTTAGAATTTAAATTTCCTGATATATCCTGAAAATTATTTACAATTATACTAGACCATAGGATCCTTAACAAAGCTTGCAAATAAAAGTATTTTCCAAATCAGTTGATATCTTATGGCTTTGCATGACGTTTGACTCAATTTACTCGAGGCCAGTCAACTTGTCTTGTTGCCCCAAAAAGTCAAACAATTAAAATAGCCACTTGTTCATGGCCTTTCATCTTTATGTCAAGCCCAAAAGACTTAAGCCTCATTTGACGATTGGTAGGTGTGACTTCTATCATCAAAGTTTCATGAGATTTGGGTTGGAGGGCAATTTGGTCAGGATTGATTTGAAAATGAAGATAAATTGGTCCTAAAATTCCATTAATTGAACCAGATTAAATAAGGCCTTGAAAGATTTGACCCCGAAAAAAAAAAGGGTCTTGAAATAGTTGCAGATCTGCATTTTTGTAAGGGGCCTTGCCACTCCAAAATAATTTTTCTCAAAAACAATTGCAAGACTATTAGGCCAAACTAGAAGTTTGACATCTTGAAGTTACTTTTCTATGCAAATGAATTTATTTATTTTCGATAGTAAAAAAATATTTATTTTTATTTTCATACTAATAATTATATTATTATGGTTTTCCCTTGACCAATTTTTTTAACTAATAACGATGAGTCATTGAAACAGCTAAATTCAAAAGTGGTCATTTTGTATAAAATTCGATGACGTTTTGAAATGATTCCTGTCAATCCTTTTTACTGTAAGTTATTATTTTTTAAAATTTTGTATAATTATAATTATAATCCATTTAAAAAAAATTTTGAATCAGTCAATATGTTTATTCAATAGTGCCTTTAATTTAATATTGGTAAGATTATGTTAAAATTTAGGATAAAATGAGCAAATTATTCCATAAACTTTAGATCCAATAATATCATAGACTCTAAATTCATTTGTTATGCAAACTGTTCTATTAATTTTTAAAAATTTTATAATCTAGCCCTATCATTAAAAGTTACAGGAAAGAATTTAAAAAAAATTTGGTCCTTTTTTGTATTTTTTGGGTTCTTATCTATAATTTTCAAATCCTTTATTTTAATTTATTGGTCTTTTTTGTAATTTGTTAAGTTTTTTTCTGTCATTTTTTAGTCAACTAATAGTTAAAATTAATTTTTGATAATGACAGATGTTAAATTGTACTATTTTTAAAAAGTTAAAGAAATAATTTACATAATAAATAAGTTAAGGATATGTGGTTTTGTTGAAGCTAAAGTTTATGAGATAATTTGTTTATTTATCTTAGAATTTATTGTAGTTAAGTAATTTATTTAGGATAGTGTTGAATAATGGTATTATTTTAAGAACATCACCTAAATTTAACCAACTTCATTAGTTTTGGTAAATTAGTTAGAAATAATTTATATACAAAGGACGTGAAGGTTTACAGAGAAGAGAGGGACCCAAAAATTTATGAAGAATATAGAGAGATCCAATTGTTGTTATTATTATTGATATCAATGCTGCACTACATACAAAAAGTTTGCAATACTTTCTTGGAAAAAAAAAAAGTAAAAGAGAAACTTCATATGCTGATATATTCCTCTTTCATTCTCTTGCACATCGTATTTAATTGATGCTGCAAAATAAAACCAACAAATTATCAATAATCTTACCCAAAAAAAACTGAGCCCACATTAAACATTAATAAATTTAATTCAGGTTGAAATATATAAACAAGAAGATAATATTAAAGCATAACAAATTCTCACTCGCTGCATTTGGTGTCAGGAGAAATTGGAATGCCAGTGTCAACACCACATTGCTTAGGAAGTCCCACGGCCAAGTCTTTCTTTAGGCCGGGGACGGTAGAAGCGGCGGCCTTAAGACACTCACAAACTGCACGCCGATCAGCAGTCGTCGAAGCTTCCTTTTTTAGAGCACTGATATTGTTGCAACAATTGGCTGACGGCTTAGGAGCATTACCGGTGAGATATGGTACGCAAGGAGAAACTGATGACTTCACATGGTTGCAATCAATGGTACCATACACAGGCTCCGCCATAAGCATGAGTAGCACAGCTAGTCCAACCATGATGGCCAAAACCACCTTAGCATCACCACCCTTCATGATATTGATATGGCTGTATAGTTTTTTTCAATATCTGCTATTGATATGGCTACTTGTGTTGTATGAAAACATAAAAGGGTGTGCAAGGCATTTTATAGATGAAAAAGTGAGAGAGGGAGAGAAGAGAGAGAGAATCATTTGTAATTAATAGTATCGGATACTGCATATTCATGTATTTAAAGTGTATATACATGCATGGATGTTAAAGGCTGACCTTCTCTTTTTTAGTGGGAAATTGGATGTTCATACAATATCTCCTTTGATTGATAGAGTTCAGTTAATTATTATCTTTTTTTAAATTAGAAGCAAGTTATTTTCATCGTTGAATTGGATTGAGCTAAAATTGAACAAGAAACCCACTTAAAAGAGGGCCTCCCTAAAAAATTTTCAATCCAAAATTTAAACAACAACAATTCATAATAATCAAAGTTTTAATTAAATATAACTTAAAGTTCAAAAACAACTAAACCATTGTCCTAACTAACTTCTAAGTCAAAATTTTAGCAAAATCTCCCCCACAAGTTTGATATCTTGAGGATTTTAAATTCAAGAAATTAAATATCCTATCAATTATAGCAGTCCAATTTAATGTCCTAATATGAAAAACATGCTCAGAACTAAAAAATATAGCATAAACTTTAAGTGTAGCTATATTTTCAATCAATTTAATATAAAAGAAAATAAGAGAGATAAAAAAATAGGTTGCCCTAGTTTAAGATTTCTGTATCGAGCATGTTAATCTATCAATGTAAATGAATTCAATTTGAATAATATATACTCCTTTCATTTAAAAATGTAAGGTATTTTTTGAGAAGTTGGATGTTAAAAAATATAAGACATTTTTAATTTCTTGAGATGTAATCATTGCATTTTTTTCAACAATATCCTTATTAATAATAACTTTATATTTATTTTAGGGTGTTTAATAAGGGTAAATATGAAAAGTTAGGGTTAGTTAGAAAGTAGATAACTACTTTGTTGGAAGATAAAATTCAATTAAAAAAACCTTATATTTTTGAACAAAGAGAGTATTTGAAATAAATTTAAATTAAATTATGATCATATTTTATATTTTAATTATTTAATCATGTATTTTTAGTAGTTATTTATTATTAGGGTAAGTTTACAATATAAATTTACATGCCATTATGAGTTTATTTAAACTGATGAGTTTAAAAACTTGGCACAAGCAATAGCAACATTAACAAGTCATTAGTATTGCTTCTTTAAATGTCAGCAGAAGAAGTTAATGGGCCTTAATTAGAAAGTACATGAGTATAGCATCGATCTATCCCCTGCGATTCTTTATTAATTATATTAATCATTTTTTGAAAGCTGAACATAATTTCCTCAGTGATATTAATTTATGTTAATTAAACACAAAGAGTAAATTAAAGACACAGAGATTCAATTATTTTTCATAAGAGCTGGATTACATATAAATTTATAATTTATAATATACCAAAACAAAACATAACTTGATAATTCATGCTCCCGTTTGTTGCCCTTCACCACCTTGACTCAATGAATCCTGTCCAACAAAACAACACATGTTCAAAAATCTAACAAAACTAATAAAACACACCAAATTTCAAAATTGTGAAGAATACTAAATCAATTAAAATTAAAATAATAAGTATGTCGGTAAGATATCTAAGAATCACAGAAATATAAAACTATAGTATATGATGTATTCATACGAAAAAAACAAATAAATCCCTCGATTGTGCCATAGCCATACATCTCTTCTAACTTCTAAAATTTTACAATGAATCACCCTAATTTTTTAAAACTGCGCTAATAACCCCTTTAGTTCTAATTATTTCACTACTAACATATCACGAAATCTTAATTAGTGTATTCATTCAATTAACTCCCACAAAATTTTATTATTTTACTTAGAAACCCTTTATTATATTATATTTTATTGGCAAAAGAACAGATCAATTAACATGGCAATTAAGGAAATATAATGATATACATATATAAATTTTGAAACTCAAGGGGTTTTGCATCGAGTTTCAAAGGTTAAAGATACTACTTGCACATACATACATATATGTTTCAAAGATAAGTGAGTAATATGCAATTTTTTTAAAAAGAAGCCTGGCCAAAAGAGAATTTTTTTAAATAAAGAAGAAGAAGAAGAAAGAAATAAAAAGTAAAAAGGGAATTTCATAAGCACCAGTTTTTTATAGGATTTTCTTCCTCTGTGTTTGTGTGGATATATCTAAAAGTTGTACAGTTAATAATTGTACACGTACGTATGTTTTATTTTGTAAAGTACGATAACTTGAGCTTCAATCTCACACAACCCAGATAGTATATATAATTAATTATTAATTAATATAAATACATAAAATTTGTATTTAAAATATTTGTTTTCAATTAAATGTTAATTTTTATATATTATTTATATTTATTATAATAAATTTTTATTATCTATATTATCAACTTTTCAAGTTTACTTATTTTTATTTAATTAGAAAAAAATTATTAAATATATAAGAACGAGTATTTAAATGTCCGCGCGCGTGATTGAAGCTATTTACACACACCCACTAATGCCGTTTCACTTGGCTGCAATCGGTTTCATTGGTGATCGGAGGGAAACAGACGTCTTCGTGACAGAGTCCAGGCAGCGCCTCAGCTCGTTGCTTCTGCAACTTCGGGAACAACGACGCCGCGTACTTGAGGCACTCGCAGCCGGCTCGACAGTCGTCTCGCGACGACCCGATTTCCTTCTTAATCACCCTAAGGCCGTCGCAGCACTCCGGCGGCGGCTCCTGGAAGTGTTCACCTTCCATGTACAGAAAGCACATATAAAATGCCGTCCCTATCGTCGAGCAATTCAGCGCCTCCCCTCGCTTCACCATCTCCGTCGTCGTCATCGTCACCACCAGCCAAATCGCAACTGCCGCCGCCGCCGCCGCCGCCGCCTTCTTTGCTCCATTACTCTTCATCATCGATCTCGTTGATCGCGATCGCTTGCTAATTTCCAGGTAACTGATTATATATAACTCTTTTGATGTAACTGTAATATCGATGTCGATCGACCTCGTGTTTTCCTGAGAAAGTTAGGGTTAGGGCGAAGTTATTATACAGCTCATGAACAAGTGGGAGATCGGTGGAGACAAAATCAATTATGAAGCAATAAATTTACATTGAGAGGTACGTACAGGATTATTCTACGTTTTTAAACACATACTCATATATGAATGGATGTGACTCAGATTTCCGATTTCTGTCTTGTTTGGTTCTTTTTTTTGGCAAGTCTTTGGTATTTAATGTTACGTTGGTCGTGATCTCTACTTGAAAAAGCGATGGTGAAAAAAGAGTAAAAGACTCTAACAAAAGTCCAAAATTTAGTTCATAATTCATAAAATCGTCCAATCAAATTTTGTTTTTGATGTGATAATTTTACTAGTAAGCAATATATAATTAAAGTGCTTGCACTTTTTAAGTCCATAGACATGCCCTATTTATAAACTTTTGGTTCCAACTTATTTAAATTTTTTTAATAAAACAAAGGAGTAGAAGACTATGAATAGACATAGACCTTCTAATTCCCCATTAAAAAACTATAAAAAAAAATGCAAAACTGCACCACTATCTCCCATTTTATTCAAAGTCTAATAATCAAAAGAAAAAACAATCAAAAGATTAGAACGTTACAAGAAAATATTAGAACGTGAAGCATTAGAGGCTGGACTTGGGGAATATATAAAATTGATGAATTTTTTTTTTATTGATATAGTAAGATTGATTGATTGAATCAAGAAAAAATAGCAAGGATTGTTGAAGAAAATTTATATTAATCAATGATTAGCTGTTATTAAAACTTGAATGAAAAATAAACTTAAATAAATTATTGTTACTTTAAAAAAATTATTTTTAAAATTTAAATAAATATTCATTAATAAAAAATTAATTAAAATTAATAAGTATTTATTTGAGTTTGGATATTAAATAATATTTGATTAATTTAAAATTTTGGAACTGGTCTTTGTTAATGGGCTTGGCCCTGAACTTAAAGTTTTGGAATTTGGAAGCTGCCGAGAGCCCGAGACTCTTCTACCTAGGCATGGCCTAACATTCTTCACGATTGTTAGCAGTGCATTGCGTTTTTTTTATTTTTTCTGGATGCTATAGTCACAGGTATTTTTTTAAAAAAATAATTTTATTTGAAATACTGTTAAATATCAACAGAAAAAAAGTTGAGATAAAAAATTAAAAAAACTATAAAAATGAAAAAAAATACTGAAAAGAAAATGTTATTATTCCTCTTATTTGGATGAAAAGGAGAAAGCAGGAAAAAAAGAAAATGAGCAAATATTACAATAACTATAATATCCTTGTGTCAAAATATATCATGTTTTATATAAATTTATTTATAAAAATATATTGAAAACAAAAATTATATTAAAATTAACATAATCAAATTAATTTAAAATTAAATTAGTTGTTAAAAATGTATTTTAATAGTATTATATTGTAAAATCAAATCAATATCATTAGTAAAAATATTACTTGTACATTTTAAAAACATTAATAGTTATTTTATCTCTTAACTTTATTTAAAAAATTATTAAATATTTTAAATTTAACTGTAACTTTATTATATTTCTCATCATTAAATATTCCATTTTCCGCGACCTGTGTGTGGACAACCCATAGCTCTCATTTTGAAAAAATTAAGAGTCACTTTTATTCATAAATTATACATATAAGATTACAAATTTTTTTAGCTCAACTGTAAATTAATTTTGTCTCTTAATTTTAAAAATTATTTTTATAATTACTTTGATGTTTAAAATATTTAACACTTGTCCCATTATTTTTTTAAATATTTTTATTATATTAAAGATTATTTTAACCTCTTAACTTTTATTTAAAAGGATTATTTTTATTCCTCAATATAAATATTTTATAATAAAAATATAATACGGAGCTCACTGATGATAAAAAATAGTAAGATGATGAAAAATAAAATTTTTAAAGTTAAAAAATAAAATTAACTCATAATTAAATTTAAATGTATTCATATTAGAAACAAAACTGAGCTTTGATCATTTACAATATTTTTATAATAAAATATTACGCCATGGGTTCCACCTCAACTTTTTTATCCCAGTCCTTCTCTCTCCTCTGTTCTGATGTGATAAGCAATGACATCATCCACTTCTCTCATGCTTGTCTTTCGTTGTCTCCTTGATCCTACGAGGTCCTTCTCGGATGAGCGGCGCTAGAAGTGAATCATGTGAACTCGCCAGCACAGAAGGCGGCGATAGAAGCTATGCCGACATTTTTCACAGGGGAGAATACGCAGTGCATAACATGCTTGGAGTACGCAGAGATTGGGAATGAAGTGAAGGAGATATGCGTTGGCATAGGTTTCACAGCGATTGCATTATCTCGTGGCTGAAGCTTCCGAGTTCTTGCCCTGTCTGTAGGTTTCAGATGTCGTTGGATGATTCTAAAGTTGAATCGTCCAAGGATGGACGTCTGAATGAAGGCGATATGAGTAATGGTCAGGCGGTGGTCTGATGGATAGAGAACAGAGAATGAGTTTTGGAAGGAGGAATTGGCTGAGCATATAGGTTTCATGTGGCTTTTTTCAGCCTCTGTTTTGAGGACAAAAAACAGAGTAAAGAAAAACCCACGTCTCCAATTGATTGAGAAGCTACTCGAATGGAGGTCTCGTGACAAAATGTCATGTCGATGAAGGGTCGTCTCTCACTGGCGAGGTCATCGGCTTATGGTGCTTCGACGGAGCAGCATCCTTCATTCTATACATATAACATGAATGATCTAAATTTATAACTTTTTAACTGATATTTTTAAAATGAAAATTTATTTTCTTTTGAAAAATTGATGAATAAAAGATTATTTTTATTTTATATTCTGTATTCATTAAAATAATTTTTTTATTTTTTAAAAAATCAAAATAAAAACCTGTGAATTTAAATTATTCAAATTAGATCTAAACAGTGCTCAAATTGGTTCTGACGATGAGGAATGGAATTGGTTACGAAAATCTACATGCTATAAATAATAGTTGAAGGAGGTTATGTGTGTGCACGTATATGTATTTTAACCGATAAATAATATTTCAATATCCTAAAAGTGGAAATTTCCATATCCGTTTTATCTTGAAGTAGCTGCTGGTATTTTGAGAGGTAAATAAATAAAAAATAAATGGATAAATAAATAAACTTTATATCTAATCTATTTTGACCTATAATTAGTTTGCTTCCATGTAAACTGAAATACATTATTTAATTATTTTAAATAATATATCATAACTCATCAATTACCTGGTGATTTTCTTTTCATCTTAACTTTAAAGAGCATTGGAAATATACTATACTTTAAAATTTAAGTTGTTTCCAATTTAAATTATCTCATCTGTGATTATATTGATATAAAATTATAAATTCTCTCTCTACGTGCGTGTGCTTTCATCCCATGGAACTGCTACCTCTATTCTTTGGACCCATTTAAATTTCAGGTAAATATAATTGATTATAAAAAATTATTAATATAATTAATTATATTATAATGTGATCATACTTGGATATTATTTTTTGAAATTGATTTTGACATAAATGAAGATTTTTGGACTTTGGATGATTTAATCATAATTAATTTTGAATGTATAAATTATTATAAATGATATTACTTTTAAAAATTAAAATGTTGATAAATATATATATATATAATAGTATTAAATTTGTTCAAATTTATTTAAAATATTGATCTTTATATTTTAGAAAATAAAATTAGAAAGATTTGTAATTTTAAGACTAATATTTAAATTCTTAAAATTTTTAATCTATAAAAATTTTTAAAATAATTTAATCTTTTTAATTAAGGATTAGGTCAAAACTATAAAGATTAAGTTATAATGAATTATAATTTAGGAATGATGTATAACTACGTTAAAATTATAGAGACCAAAAGATTAATTTTTGCATATTATTAAATTTATCTTGATTTATTTGACAGAAATATAATAGTGATATAGTTAATATTTATAAAAATTATTTAATACACATATATAATAAATGTCCATGACTCTTCACAAAATGAATGCCAGGTTAAATGTTCGGCTGGAGATATATTTGGATGTGAAGGAGATGTCTCAATCTACTGTAAAGGAGATGTCTCAATCTGCTATAAATAAAGTTAGAAATAAAGATCAAATTTAAAAGGTCGAGCACGAGGTTCTGTTTAAATAAAAGTTCAGATTTTAAAAATAATTTTTTTAAAAGTAATCAAGTTTGGCCCTGTAAAAAAGAGTCCAGGCTTGAATGGCCCTTCAAGCCCTGTTATATAATAATAATAATTATTATTTTGGAATATGCGTTTGAAGCCAGTAATCTGCTCACTTGATCTTACATATATTATATTATTATTAATTTTAATTTATTATAAAATTAATTTAATATAATTTAATAAATATCAGTGTATAGTATAAAATTTTTGATATTTTTTATTTTTTATGATTATTATGTTTGTGTATTTATAAAAAAAATTATTTTTAACTAAGATTTAAATTTTATTATTAAACTTCTAATTGTATGTTGTTTAATTTTTAAAAAATTATGAAGATTTTTGGTGAATAATAGCATTTGGCTAAAGAGCACAGAGCATGGTAACAAGAGCATGAGTTGAGGTCAAGAGAATTTTTGGCCTGAGGTTGGGGAAGCTTGAAGGGTCTTTCCAACAAAAGAGTAAAGAAAGGATGAGAGGCCAAAGCACTTGGAACAAGTGGAAAATGACGGAGATAACATGGAGCAAGGAAATAGCCGAAAAAATGGAGAAAAACCACATGACAGCCAAGCGTGAAATCCATTGACCGCTTAACGCCTAACGGTCGGTCAACACACCATCAACATATGACAGAATGCAAAAGATGAAATCTTTGACATTTTAATGTTGAAGGATATAATTGATTTATAATTAATTTTAAGGTGTCTAGTAATCTTTAATTAAAGTTAAAGTGTAAAAATGATTATTAATTCTTTAAAAAAATAAAAATAAAATGCATTGACCTTAAAACCATATTGTATAGTAACTCTTTACAATGCATAAATCTTAACAAGACTTTTAACCTCTATTTCATAGGAGAGAGAGGAGAGGGATAACAAAGTAAAACAAATACAAGCAAGAGGAGAGACTAGATGGTGCAAAAATTTTTTGAAAAAATTACTTTAAGTCTCATTCAAAATAATTATTGACTTACATGTTTATTGACAACTAAGTTTAGAAGAATGATAGACTTAGTTGTTAATGAACTTGAGAGTTATTAATTGTCTTAAATGGAGTTTCTATGTAATTTTTTTTAAAAAAATTTACTTCTAAATGAAGAGAACAGTTGGGAAAAAAGTATTGTATGTTATATAGCTCATTTTCTCTCATACTTTTTTTTTTTCCTCACTTTTTACCTCATTCAAAATTTCTTCCTTTATTTTCTCTCTGTTCAAATGGAGCATAAACGTGGACATCTCTTTTAATAATGACACAAATTTTGATTTGCTATATTATAAAGAATTAACCCTTTCTGTTAAATTTAACTTTTATTGGTTTCTAAGTTTGTATATGTAAGGAAGTTTTAAGATTTTTCAATGCAAAATTTTGAAGATTTCTTAAAGCTGGATTGCAGATTTTAAAATCTTCAAGAACTTTGAAGATTTGGTCCGTCCTTCTAAATATTTTTATCCATTTAGTCTTTATTCACAATTTTCCCAAAATAACACGGAGTTACCTATATCTTATCCATATAAATAGGGATTAATAAGTCACACTATTTATAGTCATGAATAATTCAGCCTCCTCTTTCTTTTTTTCAAGATATTAGTGATTAGTAATTTTCTCTAAGTTTTTTTCCGTCCTGTGAGTCATGTTTAATAATATTTAAGACATTAAATTCTTTTTTTCCTCATTTCGTAAAATTTTACTGGCATTAGAACATTTTCACGAAACTTCAGTACCATTCTCCCTGAAAACATTTTATTCGAGATACTAGAATCAAATGATAGACTCCTCAAAATTAACTTTATTACTTCACATACAAAACTTAAAAGTTTAACTCCTAACTGAAAAAAAAAACAAGAATCCTTGCCTAAGTTGGCAAATAACTACACACTTGAACAATGAACATGCCTTTCAATCACCTTCTAAAAACACCTTCCAAAAAAAAGGCCGAGTTACTTTGAAGCTCAAGTTGTTCATGTAAAACTCAAGTCCTGCTTGATTGCTAAAAGTGAAAGAAATGATATTAATTAAAAAAATAAATATAAAGATAAGATGATCAAAATGTGGAGAGATAAGTGAACCATTTTTATAAGAAAGAATAATCATTTAGCTTAAGAAGTTGGGAGCCATGATTTATAAAATTTGAAAAAGGTGTGATGATTTTTATATTTATAATATATAGTATTAAGTTTTATCATATTTAATTGCTTATCATGAGAGGGAAAAGTGATTTAATTTATTTTGTTTTGATTTTTTTTAAATTTATTCTATTCCCATCCATTCTAACAAATAGCAATCAAACGGTTAGTCACTTCCGCATGCTTGATGGACTAGGTAGTGTAGTAATTCTAACAAAAAAACATGTATACATTTTACATTCTCGTATATGCTTTATTTTTTTATTTTTTTGAATATGTAAAAATTTAACGTAGGTTAAAGTATGCTTCCAGATGGATACTAGCAAATTTCTATCAACAAAATTCTTATATTGATAATAGAATTTAATCTCACAATTTTATGAATCATAAACTAAATTCTGGGACCAATCTTTTTTGGTGATCCATGCTTCATTTTCTTACAACACAAACATTTTGGCTGGTTACAACATATATTTTCGATATCATATAACATGTGGACTACAGTCTACAAAGATGATGGAATATGCTTAATCATAAAGTTATATTCCACTGTTGTACTTGAGGGCTGAGAATTCTCTACTCTTCTCTCTTTCACACAAACTTAGATTTAGACCTTTCCTAGTTGCATGATACATTTGGAGTGGTCCAAAGTTTTCAATTAATTCTCATGAGATCTTCAGTTAAAAAATTAGTTGTAATGAGATCTCGGTTAATTTTTTAATAGTATAATATAATGTAGCATCTACGCAATTGATAATGCTGGAGATTATTTTTTTTATTTTTTAAATATACCTGATCAGATCACATGGTGATTAAATAAAATAATAATAATAATAATAATAATCGTCGTCGTCATCATCATCGTCATCTCGATCTGTGAAAATCACGTAATTATCTCCATTTGGACCAAGGTTAGACTACTTCGAGTAGGTAAAGCCGTACAGCACGTTCGTCGTTGAAGGCCTCCGTTTCATGGTCTTCTGAGTCTGCAACAAAAACGACGCGCGGAGAATCTCCAATCTGATACTGACTCACCATGGCCTAGTCGTTTGGCAGCATTAATCATCGTTTTCTTTTCTGTCTTTCCTTTTGATTTTCTTTCTGATGGCCATTGTAGCAGCTGCAGCTTCTTCCCTGCCGTCTGGTAATCCTCGCCTTGTGCTTTCTAGTTTACCGTAATCTCGCTTTTTCGTTTTTGTTTGAATCGAAGGGATCATATGGAAATTGTTAATATTGGTTTTTCTTTACTCTTTTTTTTTTTTCAATGCTCTGAAGAAGCTTCTATTCATATGATGCTCGTTGAGAGAACTTACTTTCAAATGGTTATCTATCAGCTTCGTCTTGTGGTGTTTTTGTGGTTAATGGGAAATTTTCTTGCACGCATGCTTCTACTGCGAGGACATTTCGGTGATGGTTAATTTGATTGGCGTCATCGATAATTAATGGCAAGGATATGAACCCCATTCTGTGTATTCCCCAATTTTTGCAGAGTCTAGCCTTACAGATGCAATACATGTATACAAAAGAAATTCATAATATGGATGCTGTTAGCGACAATAAGTCTGTTCTGTTAATGGATGAAGTGCTCAAATTGGAGGATAGGTGGGGAAATGAGACAACTTGGGCCATGGCTTTTAATATGCCGTCATGCTGTGAAGGCTGTTACTGTGTTAGCTTTCTACCCAAAATGCTGGTTTCTGTATTCATGCTTCACGATTATATCTAAGTCGTAATCGAAGGTCATGATACTTACGAGAAGAGCCCATCTCTAAATACTAGTTTACTGGGAGGGAGTGACTCAAGGGGAAAAACGGTCTTCAGTATTGAATTATTGATTGTTGCCCGGTAGATTTATAGGACTATACAATTAGCCCAAAGTTCAGGGTTGTACAGTGCAATATTTCACTGTCATGGGCTTGAATGAAAAGCTTGTTAAGGTTATTTAGATATGTTAATAACTGTTAGCACAGAGTTATTTAGATGTTTAGATATGTTTGTGTCGGTCTTTGAATAGTCATCCTTGTGAGAAGACTTCACGCTAACTTCGATCATGACAAGGGTAAGACTATAGGGTCTCTAAGAAATTTAGCAAGTGGTGATGGTTTGTTATCCATTCATTTTGCTCTGTTGTTTTCTTTTTTTGAGGTTACTGCTAATATATTGCCTAGAAAAGTAAAGATTCCCATTACCTATAGCAAAAAGTAAACAATCTCAGAAAATTTGGCAGAGCATTTTTCTGGTTTTGTTAGTCATTTCCCTCTTCTGGTTTAAAGGTTATAGGAGTAGAAAGGAGAGTGAGCATCACACACACACACACCCCTTTTCTGTTGGAGTGGTGTGCCTTTTCATGTTTGTTCTGTGCGTTGCAGAAGGAATATGTTGCTCAATATCAAATGGAATTGCAAGCAATTTGATCAAATCTCCTCTTGATGGTCGAAGAGTATCTGACCTTTACAGCTTGAGGTGTTTCAATTTTCATGATGAAATTCTTTGTTCAGAAAGAGTATTGAAAATATTTTTACTTCTCTCTTGCTTTATAGTATTGTAGAAGTTTTGGAATTATTGACATCTTTTATAAGTGTGATATAAGGAAGCATGAAGCTTTCTATTAAGTTTCGTGCATTTCAACATTATTACTTAGATGAATTTTAACTTCAGCATTTTCTTTTTCAAGGGTGAGGCAAGCTTAAGCCTCTATATAACATATAATTTCAAATTTAGGTAAATTGATTTAAAATTGACCCTGAGAAATAGGCATATATTCCATTAGTGCCACAAACTTTCTCAATGCTGCAATCAAACATTCCATTGACCTTTGTTGGGAGCTAACAATTGTCTCATCAAAAGATAAAAGTAATGGTTGCATTTACTTGTATTAGTTTGTCATCGCCACTTTTCTTGTCTTATTTAGGTTCTTGGAAGTTCTAGTTCACACTGTTTACTGAAATAGAAAGTTTGAATTTTTTCTAGATGCAAAAGTCCTTTTTTAGGACCATCGCATTTCCTTTGGCTATCCATGGGGCATGATCTGTGTCTTCAAAAGGTTTGTGTTGCTGCAGACTACTCAGATTCTGTACCTGATTCGTCTAGTTACATGAGTAACCAAGGTTATCATCCTCTTGAGGATTTAAAAGTCTGCCACAATACTCGGCGGACTGAACTCTCTTCAGCTGAAATAGCAAGAACAACAGTTGAGGTGTGTGCTCATATGCTTTCGCTTCTTGTGGAACCTTTATATGTGCAAATTTTAGCACAAAAGAATTTAGCGACCTTAGTTTTTTTGGGTGAAGCTTAGTTATATTTTTGTCAGTCGGAAAAATTAGGTAGCATGTGAATACCTCCTATCACCATGCTGTTTGTTGATATTAGGCTAATAGAAACGCTTTCCTAGTGTTCCCTGGATCCGTGCACTGTGAACCACATGAACAGATTTCGTGGGCAGAGTTTCAATATCTTATTGATGATTATGGAGGTTTGTTGTCTTCAAATACAAGCGTGTTTTTCTTTATATAATCACGGTGACAGATTTGATTTTGAATAACCATTTATGCAAACTAATTCCTATTCTGATATTTAACTTTAAGTTTTTTTAATCTAATATTTTTTTTTTCTTTCTATTTCTTAGATATATATTTTGAAATCTTGGATGATGCAAACATTTTGGAAGATCGTAGAACAAGTAATCCTGTGGTAAGGATTTCATGACCATTTACATAACGATTCTCCTGACAAGGCAATTGATGGAAATTGCGAGCAATACATGTCTGAGACCATACAACTGACTTTTTACATCCAACTTCTGAGATGCCTTTTTGTCAAGTTGGGTCCATTTGATTTCTTGTTCTTATATTTTTTTTGTTGTCCAAGTTAATGTGTCTATTCTGTTATCATGTTTCTTTCTTTTACTTTCTAAGTACCTAATCTTATTGTCCTTTTCTTTTCGAAATTTTCAACTTGCTTGTGCATCTTCAGTCAAAATAGTTCTCCATGGCTTTTGAGGGATTGGTTTCTCCATAGTAGGACATCTCATCCCTGTTCTATTTAATGAAAAAACATCACAAACCATAATCGTCAAAGAGATTCTGGAATCTAAATTCTATCACATCATTTCTTCTTTGATGAAGTTAGAACTGTATGAAAAGGGAAAGATATAAGAGAGGTGGATCAAGTAGGCCATCCTTCATCCTCATGAAGGATCTCACTTGCCTTATTCCATTAGGAACCTGCCATATGACCATGGAGAATTCATGAGCAAGAATTTCAGAACTAGGCGTTCACTAAATGTAAAGGTTAGGAGAAATGCTAGTGTACACATCAGACACATTTGTGGAAAATTTTATTAAGTCTGCAAATCTAAAACATGACATTAGCTATGTGGCTATGTGCTGCAAAATTGGAGGCCAATGGGGTGATTTCACCTGAGTCCTGACACCTGTTTTATATCTAGGATTAATTTTGAAACAATCACTCATTTTTTCTTACATTGTCATATGGCTACTTTGCTTTTGAATGACATAAAAGATTTGTGTTTCTTCAGAGAGCTTTGATTGGAATGGACATTCCACTATATGATAATAGAAGGACTGCTAGTGAATACAACATATTCAATAGTGGCAACAATGACGAATTCCTACTTGATGATGATTATATTGAGGTTTGAATTTTCCAAATGCTTAATTTATAGATCACAACATAGTCCCCTTTGGTATATGTTGTTTCTTTCATGTGCCTTAAAGATTCGACTCACAAGTCTACTTTTTTTCTTTTCGCAAACAGATTCTGGAGTCTGAAGAGAATTTGTCAGTGAATTGGGAGATGCCAGATACCACTGTCTCAGTTCATCCTGTTTATTTTGCAAAGTGCCTATCAAAGGTACTTTTCTTCCTCACTGCTACAGCGAACTGTTTCTTTATACCTGAAAATGATTTTATCATGTTGGTACTTCCATGCTACCTCTAGTCCCTTTACATGATTCTTCCATCCAAAATTTTTCCCTAGCGCTCAGGATTAGACAGTCTATTGGAAGGTCCATTTTCAGAACCCTTTCCATGTCTTTTTTTTTTTGGGCCACAGAACCTTACCGTGTTCATTGTTGTTGTATTGATATTCTGCTTTCGATCTTCTCCCTATCATGCTCTATATCCAATATTATCTATTCTTTGTGTTTTTCTCACCAAGGTTTAAAACTCATGGGTGGAAGGTGATTAAATTTATTTTGTACATGGGTTCTTTAGTAGATTCTATTTTTAATGATTCAGAAGGAGACGTTCTCCTTATCTTTTTGATGAATTTTTGTTGTTGTTCCTTTTTTTTTTCATTTTTTAATCACGTCTTGCAACTTAACATGCTTCCTTGATATCTATGGGGATCAGTCTATAAATTACAAAGTTCACCCTGGCCTTAACATATGAATTGGATTAGATTGTTTCAAAAAAACCATTTTAAGAAAATATGCATTGTTATAAACTTCTCTACTGATATCTATTTCTCAAGTTACTTTCAATCTGCTACTCTTCAATGCTTTATCTGCTAGATGGACAAGTAGTGGGGTAAGGAAAAAAATTGTGCTCTTCTTGAGCATTGATATGCTTGAACAAATGTAAGCAATCACATTGTAGATTTACTTCACCTGTTGAGTCATGCTGACCATCATCTACCTTGTCTTTTACTTTTCTTTCTACATTAGCAGTCAGACAAATTCATAAAATCTAGAAGAAATAAGAGTGATTGTAAGTAAATTTTTCTTCGTAGGCTGTCAACGCAGAATATGATAAAACAATGGACCATCCTTCAAATGGTGTTTCAATTCTGGGTTACCTTAGACCTGCTTTTGCTGATGAAGAGTCATATCTAAGAACAGTATATCGGAGTGAAGATGGGGATGGATACAGCTCGGACTGTAAAGGTATCTTATGCTTGATACTTGTTTTATATGGACTTGAAATTGTCATCTACTTATCTTTGCTTCTGATCGGTATACCTCTGTGACTGATATGAACCTATCTAGTGTTAGGATTCATGTGGAACTTCATTCAACAATACAACTCTATGTCTTTGAACATGTTTTACACCTACCCCGTTGCAGAAATCTCCACAATGGCTTTTGTGGTGATTAGAAAATTGAGCTCTTGAGAGAAATTTTTTAGTTTGTTACTTTGGAGTCAAGCTTCATAAATTGAGTTGGGGATGAAAAAACTCAGTCCGGGCTCTTCAGCCGAGTTCAGACAAGCCCCTGTTTGTTTTCTGGCTCCAATTGAATCACCTACTTACTAAATTCAGTCTTGCATAATTTTGTTTGAGGTTATGTGTGTTTAGTTGTTGTTATCAGAAGGTGGCCTGATTTACTAGTAATGTGTGTTTACTGTTAACAAACTTATATTTAGGTTTCAGCTACCCTTGCTTGTTCTTTTTTCTCTTCTAATTAAAGATATTAATCTTGTGCTTCTGAGTTACTTGGGTATTTAATTTCAGATTAGAGCTTTGTTAGGTATGGCGAATTGGCGATTTTAGATGAAGATTTAATATATTTTTAAGCAATATATTAAAAATTACTGTTGACACTCTAAAATTGCTTATTTTCACTTCAATCTTTAGATGGTGAAAATTTTTACTCCAATAGTATGAGCGATCACAGAGACACTGGGTTGACACTCTATCGGTTGGAGATACTGAAAATAGAGTTATTCTCTGTGTATGGATGTCAGGCATGTATCTGAAAACTTATATCCTCCATATTTGACTAATTATCTGTTTTGAACTAATATTTTATGTACAAAAGCCTCATCACCTGAAATGGTGAATTTTATTATCTACGATATTAAAGAGTAGTTCACATGTCTTATTCTAAATTTATCGGCCTGTCCAAAAACTTTGCAGTCTGAAATTAATTTGCTAGACTTTCAAGATGCTGAACCTGATATTCTTGTACACTCTAACCCGGTTATTCAAGAACGCCTCAATAAGAGATTTAATGCTGCTCTTAAAGCTCTATGCAAAAGAAAGGACTTGACGTTGAGGTAATCAAAATTTCAAAATTCTGTACCTTACAGATTTAGTTGTGATTATTGGATTTTGACCTGGCTATAAGATGTAATGCTTGAATGATCCGGATAAAATATTGAATGAGATGTGTAAATACAAACTATTATCAAATATTCAAAAACAGTTTACTTGAAAATGTAGAGTAAAGAGCGGGTAATTTAATCATGTATTGATCAGTTTTGCTTCATAATCTATAGATTGGAGCAATATAACTTATCAGGACATTAAGGATGTATGACCTTTTAGTAGCAAGGCTTGAAGTACTTGTGGGTCATAGACGGAGGTTTATTGAAGTCAAAAGTAAGTCAGAGTTAAACTTTTGTAGAAAGCAATACAAGAGGGTTGTCAAGAAGTGACCCAATCACCCGACAAAGGGGGCTAAAGGTTGAGAATGTGTCTTCTCCTTAGAACATCCTCTTCTGAAATCATTTTGGCTTTACTCTGAAGCATGGATAAAGAATAAGCTCTAATCATCTTTCAAAGTTATTTAACTATAAGAATGGGGGCAACAGCCATCTTACTGCAGACTGTTCAATCATATAGATTCCAACTGCATGTTTGGTATACAAAAAATTGTTTTTTAGAAAGGAAATGAGAAATGTACCCAGAAAGAAAATGAGATAGGTGCATTTCTCATTTCCTTTCTAGAAAATACTATTCTACCTACCAAACATTGCATAATACTTTGTATAAGAACTGCTTTATCCAAAAGCTACAAGGTTTGGTCCACTGTTGTTGGAATTGATTTATCTGTGCGGAGGAAAACATAAGATAACAGAGTTCTTAAAATCAGATCTGAATACACTGTTGTCTGTTGAGAGGTTTTGAGTCTAGAACTGATTTTGTGGATTGATTAGTCATAGTTTGTAATGGTTGTCAGGTGGGATGGGTAACTTAAAAGCTAGCTATAGAGGTGGGACTTTAGAGTGCCAACTCACTTGCATACCTCATAGAACATCTGATGCTACTCAATGTGGAACTTAGGAATCCTATACTACCTAAATCTTTATGAATTGATGTGCTTGGAGAGTTGATGTATCAGTAGCTGCCCTCTATGACATGATACTTCACTTGGTGACTCCTCACTTGACTCTCACCAATTGGAACCCTCCAAAGGCAGCTCTTTTTTGAATTCGTCAAACACCATCCCTAATAGAGTACCCAATTAATGAGGGATAATGGGTGATTTGGGAAATAAGAGAAATATTATGAATGCATTTTATTTTTAATTTATTTTAGATATTTTCTATTTAGTAATATTATTTAGATTTTCTTTAGATATTTATTCAGATATCTAGTTATTTAGATTTTATTTAGATGTTCAATTATTTTGGATTGTGTTTAGCATTATAAGCAATAAAATAGACTTTTGAGCCTTTTGAAGATTCTCTTTAGCGTGGTCATTGAGAGAAGTATAGAGCGAATTCTTTTTTTTATATTGTTTTGATAAATTACTCTCCCTATTTTTTTCTATTGCTTCTATGTTCTCTTATTAATATATGAAGTTAGATTCTGATTTCACGTCTTAATAAAAATTTATCTTTCTTATTTCTTCTACCTATCTTGGATCCTATCAATCTCTAATACCAATTGATGGATACTCACACGGGATGGTAACTCTCCTCCAAAAACTAGGTGTTGAGGTGGTAGGACCAACCTACTTAAATACCCACAAATCATACCAAACCATGCAATGTGGGACTTAGAAACCTTAGATCCAACTCCTATAGACTTCCTAATACAAGAGAATAAATGAATGGGATGAGATGGTCAATGTCTATGTTCTTGGACCTCTATTTTTGAATGTTGTGAGAGAAGACACGGGGAGTGAATAATACCATTGAGTTGCTGGCTGTCCTGCAAAAAAGGGGTTGGTTTGGTTTTTATTTTCTTGTCTCTTCTTTTTTTGACCCCCTTCCCTGCCCCCCGGGGGGGGGGGGATACGGTTAGGAATCATCTAAATAAGTGGACACTGCCTTACAAGGAACTCGTAGCTCTTATGCATGTAAAATCTGATCAGATGTTCGTGCACATTTGTCATGTTGTGCTCTTGCTTTTATACTAGTTTGGTTTGCATTCATACAGATATATGTCCTGTTTGTTTGGCCGAAATTGTGGTTCAAAATGCTTGATTATTCTTTGCAGTTTGCAGTATGAAGATGATTGTTTAACTCAGGATTATTAATTGGCATTCAGGGAGCTCGGTTGATTGGGTTGACAGCCTTGGTATGGATGTCAGAATTTTCTCAGGGGCAGAAGTAAAAACTCATCGATTTCCATTCAAAGTCCCAGTAAGCATCTTGGCTTGCGATGAGTGTATAGTATTTCTGGCTGTTAAAAGTCATGATAACATCCACGCGAAGATCTTTCTGAACTTATCTGTTTTAAAAATAATCTAGCCCCTGCCAATCTCTTATCGAAAATGTGAATGTTTTGTGATAAAATCTTGTTCTTCCATAGGTTGGCTTTGTGATCAGAGATAGAGAGAAAATAGAAATATATTCACGCACATGTATGATGAATAGCTTTAATTCTAAGCTTATACTTGCTGTAGGAGGTGTAAGAGGATTTAACTTGCTGGCTAAAATTAGATTTCTTGGATAGAGTATGGGTACAAAACTAGTGAATTGAAGGTTTATAATTGCTAGGCAAAGGCGGCAACAAGCAATAGGTTGGGGTCAACTGGTGAGTGGTGATTGTACATGTGCTGTGAACAACACTTGCAAAACTTGATTTGAGGTCTAACGGATTCCAGGGGGAATTCAGGTTAGACCACACTGGATGTGTAAAAGGAGAAGTTTTAGTGTTGTCAACCAAAAGAAAATAGTTCTCGTCAATTGATAAAACTGAAATAAAAGAAATATGTAGGAGAAGAAAATCAAGTTAGGCTCCACACATGGGTTTTCATTGCTCACTGATGAGCCTGCTGTCACTAGAGGGGAAGAGGAGGTTGCACCTGGTGAAGTTACTGATACAGTCGTATACTTTACAAGAGTGAAAAAAGAGAAGATGATTCAGAGGGTAGAAAAGGAAATGGAGGTTGGGGGGGTGACTGACACATGCTAATTGTGAGGTGGTGTGCTGGAAGAGGAAGTTACCTGAAGGAAAGTTAGGGAGCCTAAAACTGAGCAAGAGTGTGTGATGTGCCTTCTCAAGGGAATATGGAATCTGGAGAGAGATCTATCATCTTGAAGGCAAGAAATCTATATCTACTATTTTCTACATTTGTCTCCTATTCTGCCGTTATGTTGCTGAGTTAGATATTAGATATACTTCTGTTACTGTCATAACAATTCTGCCTATTATCAGATACTGGTAGAGTTATTTATTTATCATTTGGCTCAAGTAGCATATCGATGATGTGGATTCTATCAACTCATTAATGCAGTATAAGAAGATGGAAATATTATCTGCCCCACTTCGTAATGATGTAACTGTTATTTGTGGACTCTTCAGGGCTTTTTTAATTTTAAAAAAGCTATTATTTGTGGACTCCGTTTTTGACCCAGGTTTTTGAGCCTGAACGCTAGTATTTTAGTAGGATCAGGATACCTGATGTCCTTAGGATTTATTGGTCAAGTTCCCTGTGAATAGGCCTCTAGTCTAGTCGTTTAGGAATAATATCCTTATTTTTATATGGATAAACATTTAAATAATCATGAGAGTTTTTGTTATCTTTATTCTAATTCCCGCCGTTTATATTATGCATTAAAGAAGAAAGTAATTTGCTAGTGACTCAGACTGATCATTCCCCGAAACATCACATTCTTGTGATGCTGTGACATCATTGTCAAGAAAGTGTCTTCCTCCCGAAGCTGCATGACTTCCTGGTTTGTAACAACTTGCTAAATTGTAAAACCCTAACTAAATAAGACTGACTTGTTAATAAATTATAAGCATCTGTATGAATGAACTCTGCTTTTGAATTCGAGAAATTTCATGTGAGGTGGGTGGTAGATAAACTCACATGATATGTTTCATTAGGTTATCAATATAAACATAGTTGAAGAATAAGTCTTCAATCTGCATTGGCAGGCAACCTCTGAAGTTGGGGCTGAAAAGCAGATTCAGCAGCTTCTGTTTCCACGATCAAGGCGGAAAAAATGCATGAACTCATGGCGACAAGCTTAAGAACCAGCACACAAGTTGAGTATCATTGTCTAACTTTGCCTGGCAGTTATCTTCTGTTATTTTCCCTTTTCAATTTGCCATAACAGCTTGCTCTGTAGCAATTAATACATAAAAATGTAGTTAGTTCTGTACATCATCTTGATTTTCTTCTAGGAGGGTCATGGTGGTTAATCTTTTCCTTCTTCCGCTTTTCTCATACGAAAGCTTGGTCAGTAAATAAATTAGAATATAAGAGGGTAAAAAATTTTCTTTGCTGATAATTATAAGTGGCATTGCTAGTAGATGATTACTCAATATACTGCTGAAAATAGTTATTCTGCTTTGTGCACTAGGACATCTTAATTTGCAATTTTTTTTTGGGAAAATGACGTCTAAGGATCTGAAGTTGACAAATTTTATATTAAAAATCTTGAAAAGTAATTGTTTTCAAAGTTCAAAAAGTTGTTAGATTTACTATATTAGGTATCTTCCATCTAAGTTATTGAAAATTATGAAATTCAAAGTAATGACAGTTTTTAAAATTTTTTATAGTAAATCATTGAAATTATAACTCTTATGATACTGTAGCGCGCGCGCGCGTAAAGTGGGTCCATAGGTGTAACAACCCTTTCTTTTTCTTTTTAAAGTTTCTTCACGTTTCTCATATCATCGTTCACATTATAGGTTTACTGTTACATTCTATATTTGGATTTTGGATACTACGGTATAGGGTATCCAAAGCATAATACTATTGTATTTACAAGTGCAATTTACAATTCTCATTTTGTGTAATAAAATAGAAATGGCGTAAAAGTTCTTGACTCGGTTTAAATTTAATATTATTCTCAGTTCTTTTTTGAAAAATAGTTATTCTAAAGTTAGTCTGAGTTGCAGTATGGAAGTTATTCTGAAACATAGTGGAAACAATATTCCTCGGAATAAAGTTTTAAGAAAAAAAAAAAACCCTTCCACAAAGGAGAAAAGAAAAGAAAATGGAATTTGTTTTTTCCTTGGGGAGAATATCATTCAGCCTTCCCAGGAGACATTGTAGCATGAAGGGTCCAAGGCATTTTGAAATTTTCACGAAAGCCCCATGGTTCTTAATTGTAATTAAACTTTAGGAATTGATTATTTATGTCTTGTTTTTTTTTTCAAATCACCATTGTCACCGAAGCTGTGTTATCATAGCTAGATCACTGTCATCGATGGGTCGACCATCGTCGTCAGCTGCTGGAGCTTTAGCATCGGCAGCGTGGTCAACGATGGTGAGCTCTAGAAAGGGTCAAGGGAGGTTTGAATCCATGATTTCTTGGTTTCCAAAAAATAGGAGACCATTGACTCATTTTTTTTTAATAAAAAGTCGAACAATAAAATTAAAACTAATAAAAATTACTGTTGATAAATTAGCAAGGTAAAGAAAAGAAAGATGATAAAAGAGGAATGCAATGTTGATTAAGTCTGTAACATTTTAAAAATTAACTTAAGATTAATTAAGATTTAGGGCAAATGAATAATTTTGAAGGAATATTTAATTATAAATAATTTTAGTTAGAAGATTATTATTAGATTTAATTTAGATAAGATTTTAAGTTATAATTTTTTTAGAAAATAGAGATAATAATAATAATATTTATACAAAGAAGAAGAAAGAAAGAAGAAGAAGGAAGGTTCTATTTAAAACAAAAATGAAAAAGTGGGGCCGATGATTTTATTGGTGCACATGTGTGTTTAATGTGTACATATATATAAAAAAAAGAATAAGAAAAAGAAAAGGAGATGGGAATACAATGTGTAGGGATGTGTGTGAGTTTGATATTATATATAATAAAAAAAAGAAAAAAAAAGGTAGCGGGATAGTGGAACTTACGTCACTTTATTTCAAATCCCTCTTCTCTTTGTACTTCATTTTCTCTTCCCAATTTTTTTCATTTTTGCGTGCGCAAACAAGGAGAGACCAAGTGCGAGATGCCAGCAATGAGATTGATAAAGAGGTAGAGTTCTATAATAAAATATTTTAAATAAAATATTTTAAATGAGATTTCAAGTATTTTAAGACTATGTAAATATTTTAAACATTTTTTAATAATCATTTTTTTTCTTGAATTGCAGATTTTGAGATTTTGAAAAAGTTAGGGTTTGAAAGAGAGATAAATTTTTAATGGGTAAATCTGGTTATTAAGATTATTGGTAATGTAATAAATATTTTAGAGTATTATTTTTGTTGATAGAATTGAAATTTGAGGCATTTGAGTTTATTTCTAAATCTCTATGGGTAGATTTTTAATTAAATCTAAAAATATAAATTAATTTATTAATATTTAGATGATTATTTGGGACAAGAAATAAATTATTATGGTTATCGAATAATGATTCTAGATTTGAGATCAAGTTTGCAATTTTTGGATATTTTTAAGTGTGAATTTTTGAAATAAAAAGAAAAATTTTGATATTAGAAAATTATTTGAATGATGTTTTCAGCCAAATTTTAATGAAATTATTGTGAAGGATGTTATTGAATCAAGTAAATAGATTCAAATATATGAAATTAAATTTTATAATTTAAGAGGTTAGACTAAGGTCTTAAAAAATGAAATAAAATAAAATAAATACTTAGGTGTTGGAATATGAGTGCAAATTGTGTTAATAATATTATTGACACATTGGAATATAATTAATTGTAGATTAATTTTCTTTTGGCACCATTCAAACTTTGAAAAGCTTTAGAAGTATTATAACTTGAAGAGTAACTTTTAACCTCTTAAAGGTTGAGGTAACCGGGAAAACTTTATTTTATATCTATTTTGTGTTAATTAATTATTTATGTTTGTGAAACAAATGAATATATATATATATATATCTAAATTTTAAAATTGTTATTTATAATGCATATGTGGCTTTGTTGAGACCCTATAATGTGTAATCAAGTTAATTGTGACTTCATGTGAGAAATGAAATTGATAGTTGGTAATGATAGGCATACTCTTAATTATAAATTATGGATGATGTATAGTGATGAATTGTACATGAGCATGTTGAGTTTTATATGATACTAATGTGCTTTATATAGTAATATAAAAAAATTGATGCAAGAGGCACGATTGAAATATGATGATTCTTGATGCTTGTTGAGCAAAAAATTGATGAGCATATGGGATAATTATGAATTATATATATATATATATATGTTTTTAAAATGCATTTTCTCATGAGCATGATCATATGGTGGGAGTTCACTTAATAAAGGAGCTAGCGATTGTGTAAAATTTATATGGTACTTGGCTATTAACCGATAATCCTAGAGGTTATAGCCGATACTTACCTTGTAGGATACTGTAGCATTGTTCTTATTAATGAACTTAACCCTATTGGGCTACCTAGAGTTTTAGGCAGAGCTAATCTTGGGTATGACACCCCATAGTGTGTAATTTTGGGGAATTGTGTTCATGAGTAAGGTAACCTTAGTCTGGTAGCCCCTCACGCCATGATTAAGGCCTTAGATAGTCTCACCACATGAACGATCCCTTCTAGTTGTTGCCCTCGGATTTCATGTCAGAGAAAACAAGGAAGAGATTGATCATGCATATTATTATTATTACTTGGTCTAATGCTCCTTTTCTCTATTCTTCCCAAATAAATTACCTCCTGTAATATGTTAAAAGAGAGGAATGAGTACAACTACTTAATAACCCATATATATCTAAGTTATATAAAGGCATGATAATTAATCAAGAATGCAAGTGGCTAATATATTCATCAAAATAATCATATAAACAATCATATCAAGAACACGATAATAATATTACGTCTAACTCATGTGTATAATCTAAAGAACAAAGTTGAGTACAAAATTGGCACGATTATCCACAAATACTGAATATTCGTATAAAATTAGCATAAATGGCCACATATACATTATTCACATATTTACCACATGTTCTCAATTCGACAATTACAATCATAGTTTCAAACATAGCTATCAACCACTCAAATGGCATGATAATAATAATATGCATGATCAATCTCTTCCTTATATCCCCTTTGTTTCCTCTGACATGAAATCCGTGGGCTAACAACTGAAAAGGATCGTCCATGTGGTAAGACTACCTAAGGCTTTAATCATAACGTGAGGGGCTACCAGGCCAGGGTTATCTTACTCACTTATGAACATGGTTTTTTCCAAATCACATATTATGGAGTGTTATACCTAAGACTAGCTCTATCCAAAACTTCAAGTAGGCCAATAGGGTTAAGTTCCTTAATAGAAACAATGCTATAGTACCCTATAAGGTAATATCAGCTATAACCCCTAGGATTATCGATTAATAGCCAAGTACCATATAGATTTTACACAACCGCTAGTTCTTTCATTAAGGCAAAACTCCTGCCATATGATCATGCTCATGAGAAAATGCACTTTAAAACTCACACACACACACACACACATATATATATATATGTATATAATTTATAATTACCCTACATGCTCATCAACTTTCTTGCTCAACAAGCATCAAGAATCATCATATTTTAATCGTGCCTTTTGCATCAATTTTTTTTTATTTTACTACATAAATCACATTAATATCATATAAAACTCAACGTGCTTATGTACAATTCATCACTATACATCATCCATAATTTATAATTAAGAGTATGCCCATCATTACCAACTATCAATCTCATTTCTTACATGAAGTCACCATTAACTTGATCGCACATTATAGGGTTTCAATAAAGCCACATATGCATTATAAAAACAAGTTCAAAATTTAGATATATATATATATTATATATATTCATTTGTTTCACAAACATAAATAATTAATTAACATACAAATGCATCAAATAAATTTCTCCCGGTTACCTCAACCTTTGAGAGGTCAAAAGTTACTCTTCAAGTTACAACACTTCCAAAGCTTTTCAAAGCTTGAATGGTGCCAAAAAAAAATTAATCTATAATTAATTATATCCCAATATGTCAATAATATTATTAACATAATTTTCACTCATATTCCAATTCCTAAGTATTTATTTTATTTTATTTCATTTTTAAGACTTTAGTTTTAGCCTCTTGAATTTTAAAATTTGATTTCATATATTTGAACCTATCTGTTTGGTTCAATAGTCTCCTTCACAATAATATCGTTGAAATTTAGCTAAAAAAATCATTCAAATAATTTTTTAATATCAAAATTTTTCTTTTTATTTCAAAAATTCGCATTTAAAAATATCTAAAAATTACAAACTTGATCTCAAGCCTAGAATCATTATTTTATAGCCATAATAATTTATTTCTCATCCTAAATAATCATCTAAACATTAATAAATTAGTTTA